AAACTGAAATTAATTGGTAATAAAACCAAAATTTTTGGCAAAAAAAGTTTATTTTTTTTAATTGTAGCATATTTATGAATTTATTAAAATAATTTTAAGTATTATAAAATGCAAAAAGTAAAAAAATACATAACTATTCTAATATTACTAATTTATAAATTACTTATCATACTATTTGAGTATCTTAAGTATATTGTCAAATGATTTATTAATAAATTATATGTGTAATATAAATTATAACAGTAATAGTTATAATTTAATTCAAGTTATTAGAGATTTTTTAATATAATTATATTAAAAAATCAAAGTTTATTAATATTAAACTACCAAATATTAAGATATTAGTTTGCAAAAAATAATTTTTTAAATTTAGTAAAAAAAAGTAATTTTAGATAAAAATCTATTATAACTTATATATTAAATATTTGAGATTTTAATTTAAGGGTTTAAAATTTGTGCGCACCTGCGTATGTGCGCACCCCTATGGATATATTATATATAAAAGTCAAAAATGACATTCTAAACCCTTCATGGCTCATTAAGTAAAGTTGTAAAATGGGCAAAAATACGCATAGTAAATAAAATTTTAAGGCTCTATAATATGTGCGTAAGAGTGCAGTATGAATATTTAAAAAAATCAGGATTTTACTAAAGTCACGTGATAATTGATGATTGACAAATTTACTATATAAAAATTACCAAAAATGGAGGGGTGCGCACATGCGCGGGTGCGCACAAATTTTATTTCCTTAATTTAATATATTTATATTTTTTTTATTAATAAGTTTTTTGATCTTTAAATTAAAATTTCTAAATTATAATAATTTTCCTATATTTTTATTAAAATAAATTTAAAAAAATAAACTAGAATTCCATTATTCCAAACATTTTTAATATAATTTATATTAAAGTTTATATAAAGTTTATATATTAATTTCAGCTAAAATTGTGTATTATAGGAGTACTTCAAAATTTATTATTTTATATATCCCTGTTTTTAAGAGATCTACTAGTTGGATTTTAATAAAATTTATATTATTGGATTCATCTTAATAAGAGAAATCTAATAATAGTAAAATCGCATTTTTAGCATTAATATTGACTGAGTTATTGTAAAAAAATGCATATGTTATTTATGTTATTTGTAAGTTAAACTAAATATATTTAGAATTCTAATAAATCTATTATATCTCCTAATATATAATTTTAATAATTAGTTACTAAATTTATATAGAATTAAATTTTAAGTTTAAAATTTTAATAATTAATTCTTTATTTTAAAAGCTATAGATTTTTGATTAAAATCAAGAGTATTTATAACTTTATTATGTAACTTATTTTATCAATTATTTTATTATATTATTCATATTATTTTTATATTAAAAATTATTCTATATAAAAGATTTAAATCTATAAATATTTAGAAATAATTACTTGATATTTTTTGACTAATTTTACCATTAAAAATTATCCTTTTTACATAATTCTTTTATAAAATATAATTTTAATTTATTCTGTTTATAGAATACTAATTCTTACTGTAAAGTTCACACTTTTAAAAGTACTTCTTAATAGAATTATAGCAATTTTATAATAAGTTTAGTGCAACTATAGCATGTCTTTCAAATGAAGGCTTTAACTCCTGACATTTATATACAAAAAAAAGAGTTGAAACTTTATGGTAATATCATTCTTTTAGAGCTTATAAATTATAATGTTATATAATCACTGCAGCAATCACATGATTAGCACAGCAGTCAGCAGTTGATTACATAAATACTGTATCACCTCCCTATAAAAACGAAATGAGTTAAATTTGTTTAATATTTGTGCTCATGTGTAATAAATGTCTAAAAAAGCACCATTTTGTTTAATTTTTGTTTTTTTGTAATAAGACATAAATTGGACAAATTGATGCTTTTTTGGACGTTTTTTACACATGAACACAAATTTAACACATTTCATTTTTATAGGGCCTGGTCTATAATATTTAATCTTCAGGCTATCAAAAATTGGTACTATGTTTTGCGGTACTAATGTTATGTTTAAAAAAGAGAAAAATTTTTTAAATATGTCATAATTAGATTGGGATTGAGTAGATCAGCTGGATGGATTTTACTTGCTATTAACCTACCAATTCAGGATTGAATTATTTTAAAACCGAGCGACAATTCTGCTTTAACGCCAATCAAAAACCCGATTGGATTCTGTCGAACAATTCTAAAATACAAATATTACGTCATACATAATGAAAATAAATTGCTAACTAAATTATCGACATAATCACAATTTAATACGTGTGCATTTTATCGGAGTTCAACCGCGCTTTCAAACTGAACAATGAAATAAATCACAATCAAAATTATCCTAACGCTAATAACCCTTTTCATAATCAATTCTACTTATCCTACAACTTCACGTACAGTTCCCCAAGCTCGGAAAATGTCAAAAAGAAAATTCCGGAAAACATCTGAATGATTAAATTTACTTCACATCTTAAATTAAACAACTTTTATTTGATAACGAATATTCTTCGTTTTTTCAAATATCCTTACAAAATAAAAAATTTTATTTTATTTTAATCGTAAAATAATGGCATAGGGATGGGAAAATAATCTTTGCAAACAAAAAATTTATCGAAATTACACTTATTTGAATGAAATTCGAAGTCATTTGATAAAAACTTTCGATTCGAGAAATTTAACAACGGTATATAAAATAAACGATAAACGATAAACGACAAACGATTTGAAAAATTCAAATAAAAAGCAAGACCTAAAATTTAAAATGATACGCCAAGTTTGGTAATTCGGTATGAACTTGGTAAATCAAATTGGATTCGGCTTGTTGCTGGTGAATCGAATAATCAATTTGTTGAGTATGGAATTGGTTGGATTCGGCTTCTTGTTGAAAATCAATTTGTTGAGTATGGGATTGGTAATTTGGATTAGGTTTTGTTTGTGTGTTAGAGTAGGTATCAGTTTCTTGTTGATACCCTATTATTAATTCTAATTGATTAAATTTTTTCCTATTTGGTAATTTGAAGGATGGCCTTAGTTGTTGAAATAATTTAATAACACTTGGATTTTCGACGAAAGATGAATCGACTTTAGCCGAAGATAATGCTTTAACTAGTAAAATCTCGAGAGAATTTTGTTCGGTTTCGCTCATACTATCATTATTGAACTGTGCCTTTGCGTTTTCCGGTGCCTCATCACAATTGTCTAGATGAGCTTGCATTCGTTCAGGAATGCCTCGTTTAAATTCTTTGGAACAATATTTACATGTTACATGGGGATTTTGAGGATGCGGGTCGTCTTTACTCACAAAAAAATGATTCCAGCAAGGTTTTCTTTTGCCTTTTTTCATTTTATTAGTTTGAAAATATGTCAGAAATAATGCATATTTTATTTAATATGGGTGGTAAATTTAACCGTTAATTAGCTGTTAATTAACATAAATAAAAGATTTTGTATCGCAAAACAAGAATAGTTAAACTTAAAATCTTTTATTTTGTATGATATCATTAAAAATTGTACGTAAAATACCTCTTTTATTCAAATAATATTTTGTGCCTCCATGCTGATTAAATTAGAAAATTTTAACCTCAATTTCTCCGTTATTTTTTTGTTTTTTTTGCATTTAAAGTACGATGCTATTTTCTTTTCCTTTTTGTTATTTTATTTATTGCTGAAAAGGGTAATTTGCATATAAATCTTAGGGGAAACCGCAATGATGTTGATACAAGTATGCATTTCTTATGAAGAGAAACAGATGTACTGAAAATTTTTTTTCTTTTTTTTCTTTTTTTTCTTTTTTTTTTGTTATTTACACAATGTATGTTCGTTAAATTAACGCGCAGTAACTGAAGGAAAGTCATGATGAACTTAAAATTTTATAGGTATTGTTATGTACTATGTAGATGGATGGTAGATAATGATGTAGTCAAAATGGTTAAATCGGTCAATTTAACGGTTAAATTATCTATTGAAAATTATATTAAATACAATAGTTTTATTGTTAGTATTATGTGTCTTCAAGAAAGACCGATATCATCTCATTTTGTTAAACTATTTTTACAGTGTTAATTGCTATTTTAGCTCAAATACATTAAAGTTAGACATGCAATAATTAAAAGAGTAATTAAAATGAAAAAGGTGTTTAATTATTAGAATTTTTAACACTATAGTAACTATAGTAATGGTAAGTGTATACTACATTGCTTATTTTTATCTCAATTGCTAATCCCCGATTTTGTGCTGTAGATTCGAAATCACTTAATCTCGGTGAAGTTCTCTTACGGGGAATATTAAATTATATAGTCTGTGCGGGTGGGAAAATTTGTAGATATGGGTGGGATAATTTATTTCGGAAATCTGGTGTTTATAGATGTGAAAGTCTCGTAATTAGCGATATAGATAGAAACAAATTAACTGTAGAAATTATATGTAGAGCAAAGAAATAACTTGATGCTGGGACTCGCATTAAATGGCCAAGGATCCGCGTACTCCCTCCCTCTTTGATAGCATCATACATTTCTAGCATATTTCACTTCGAAAAATTAACTGATAGACGTGTGCTTTATTTCGTAAAATAATTTGTGTAACGTAATACTTGAGTAAAGTGTGCACATGTGTGGATTTATTAATCTATCGGTATTTGCGTTCTTACCCAAAAAATCAAAAGAACGAACGAATGACAACAATGGCGACCAGCTATCCATATGGTTTTGATGGTAAGTACTTCTGAAGCGAAAAGACGCGACTCCCTATATATACTCACTAGTGTAACTTTAGTCCTTAAGTCGTACTTCCAACGGGTATCATAAAACAACCACGTACCAATTTATCGGAATTTGTTAGCTTGAACATTGATTTCATAGCTAGATCAAGTCCAAAAACAAATGAGAATCTGAATGGCACGTGGAATAAGCGTTTTGTCACGGCTGCGGAAATATTGAAAATTAAGGCAAGTATTCTATCTTAAACCCTCTTTTTCGTTTTTTAGGGAACTCGCGTTAAGTTTCGCCCTGATTGCGAGTAGAGGTGTCGTCTCTCTCCCTAGTGATAATGTCGAAGCTTCAGTTAAGTTTCGCCCTGACTGCGAGTATTGGTGTCGTCCTCATTCCACATTATTGCGAATCTTGCAAGCCGACTCGATAAGCTATTCATTAGAAAGCATAGAGTAATTATTTTTTTATTTGAAATGTTAGGTAGTTGTAGATGAGCCCGATTGGTCTCGTATCTTCGAAGAAAGATTTAAAGTAAGCTACAGAATTCTTTGTGCTTTTACTTTGATCAATTCTATTGATATTTAAATATACCATGCATCAACACATGACAGATGCAGATTTCAAATAGTCGTCGCGAAAAAACATATACGATGTATTCAAACGAGAATGAACATGTCGGGGAGCAACTGTTAGAAGACCAGAGAAAACGAACCAGAGACGAACCTATAATTTCGGATACGAAAAAAGCAAGTATAGTTTACACACGTTATGTGAACTCTTTACAGATATGACTCATATCATTTTTTTGTAATACGATACAGGCCAAACCGTTTAACGTTTCCTTTGATGAATATGTTGACTCCTATGAAAATGATAGAATTGAAATTTTCGATTATCCTGAAATTCTCGACGTGGAACCTTTGTCAGGCTGGGAATTCGATACACCGATGCCAAGCTGGTTAAAAAAAGCGATGGATCGACACAAAACATTAATAACCACGTAGACAGATCCTTCAGAAAGATTCGAACTAGCAAAACAGTAAGTGCTTAATGAATACTTTTCCTTTTATTTGTGCAGGTCCTAATCAATTTCGTTATTTAGATCAATCTGGTGGTGAATCATAGACGCATCAGATCCGAAAATTGAACAGGATTTCATATCCGAAGAAGAATTTTCAGAACTTAATGCCATACCATGCCATACTTTCAAATGTTCTTAGTATTGGTGATCGGACAGTGTTAGAGCCTGTCGCTGAAAGATGTTTGCAATCTCTTGCCAAGGTACTGTGGTTTTGACATTGAAGCATCTTGATCTTATATGATAATCTTAATTAGCATAATTTCGTTTCTAGCTGAATAATGAACAGATCCGTATGATAGGTGAAATGGTTAAGTATGAAGGAATACATGGGGCAGTTTGTAAACTTCGGAAAATAATCCAAAATATCGAAGAATTGAACTTAGAAGTACCTGATTTGTTTGATGACGAACTCACAAATAATAAAACACTGTCATTCGTTCTTGAATAGAATGACTATCTTGATAAAGAGGTGGGATACATCTTAGAATTGGTTCGTTACACGTAAGTTTATTTGTTAAATTTCAGCTTGGATACATACAGCTTCTAATACTTCACTTCTTTACAATCAGGTGTGAAATGTTAGGCAAAGGAATTCCGCAACGAAAAAACTCCGAAAATGACATAGATATGTTCATCAAAAGACACATTTTCGCTTGTTTCGACGATATTTTAGATACACATTTGTATGTTTTATTATATCCCCAAGTACTTTTCATTATTGATAATACTGATTATTTTTCATATAAGTGGAGAGATGGTTTTTAGGTCATCTCGAGATCGACGAAGTGAAGCAACAGATGCCCCGATAAAGTTGAAGGGTTTCACCCAGACTTGTTGTTTACGGTATAATTTTTATGAAGTTTTCATATTTTTTGTTTTATTACTAACAGATTCCTACATATAGAGACCTGATCTTGGAAAAGATATATCATATGGCCGATTCTCTCTATGTGAGCGTGCAGGCTCTAAAGTAAATAACGATACCAAGAATTTTTCGGTCATTCTTAAGGTTTTAAAAACACTCAGAGACATGCACAGAAGCTTAGTCAAAGCAATTGCTATCGAAAGTGGAGGAGCACTTTCAAAACAAGTTTTAAATGCTTGTATTAATTATGCCTGGTTTCGCATCATCGTGGTTCTACCTTCGTGCTGTCCTTATATATATGTAGGAGGCGGATTCTACGCATCATTTGAATTGGAAAAGTTTGATATCCCTACTTCGTATGATGAAATTTGGAAGCCAACCAAAATTGCACGCATTATGTTGCAAAGTAATCCCATCCAAATTCAGACTTAAAATTTACACTCACTTTCTTTATCTTATGACATGCAGAAATTGTTGTGTTCCACAGTTTCTCAATTCAAGCGCATTATAGAAAGAGACGAGAAAGAAAAATTCCTTCCCAGAAAAGTAACAATCATTAAGGCAAAAGAGTCCCGTACACCTAATAAACCAAAAAAAAAGCGAAAAAACCAAAGTCTGAAGTATGATGTCTTGATGATTATTACATATGATGACTTGTTGAAAAGCGTTTATGGAATAATTTCTACTGTAGTTTATAAGTATTATTGTACATAGCTTATAATAATCTAATTTAATAAAAGTATTTGTTTTGCTCACATCGGAATATATAAAGTTTATGGTTGAATAATAAGAATAGAAGCAAAAGACACATGCGATCCAATCGATCAATAAAGTTTATTGACTCAGCATCATCTTTCAAAATCACAGAAAGAGAGAAGTAAAATACTATCTGTTGTATTTGTGATAAACATTTTATTCGCCCTTGTAATAGTAAGAGTGAAAGGTGTACCAAACCGCTTATTGCAAAAGAGTTGTCAAAATGTAGAAAGACTAAGAAGACTTTAGGAGAATTGTGCAAGATTGCAATGAAAAACACCTGATTTTTTTAATTAGAATGTGACACATATACATTGACGTCACGTTGTATTTAACCACGAATATACGACGTGAAATTAATATTGTGAGACATGGTGATATTAAGACCGATCACTGACAAAGAGATTTTTTGATCGTATACTCGATGCCATTGCTGGAGGAACCGATACTGTAAGTAATCATATATTAGTGTGAATTATACATTCATATTTAAAAATTAATTTTAAATTCTATTACAGATAGCGAATTCGATTAGTAGTTCAGTTCATTATCCCGATATAAAACAACGATTACGAAAAGAATTAGATGAAATTTTTTACAAAACCATAATAAATAAGGATCTTGACAGACTACAATATTGCGACGCAGTTGTCAAAAAAGTATACTGTCATACTCCTGTAGATTCTACAAATTAGCGAAGATAGAATTAAAATGTTAAAATCATCTTAAAAAATATGATACTGAAATGGTAATATAAATGCACCATCACAGTTTGTAGTGAATTAATCAGTAAGGTTAAATCAAAGAATTATAAAACCATGATTTTTAATATACGTACATATAGAAAAAAAAGAAATAAAATTCACCTTATATTTTTTGTTATGCTAAAAATTTTGGCAAAAAATTCAACGTTTGAAAGTTGAATTGACTTTAAATGACGTTAGAGTTTATTGATAAATTATTTATTTGGTATGACATGAAAAAAACCTATAGCTTATACCCGCGTAATAACATGTAAGTCGTGTATGAATGACATCAAGTACGTAATTTCTTATAAAAACATTTGTAATTCTACATAACCCTTCTATTTTATTTTCTCTTATTTATAGTACTTTGTATTTTCTCATTTTTTTTACACCTATTTTTAAGCAAATTATAGTAATAATACAAATAGGAACTTAGAAAATTTATCTTGACAAAGAATATAAAGATAAATTTTAGATCAATTATTTTTGGAATAATAGCGAATAAAAAAATTTTAAAATAATTATAGTGCTAAATACCAATTCTTTTTCAAACTACCAAATATGGTCAATGCTTTCTTATATGATAGAAATTAAATATATAATATTGTATAGAGCTATCCTTTCGATCTACTGAGCTTTCCTCTTGATGTAATAAAGTAGATATTAGGAGTTCAGTGGTTAAGAAAATCCTTTAATTGAGAAAATTTATGATTAAGTTGAAGTCTCCTTTTATTTATGCTTTACCAGAACTAGTTGTAAGCTTTTTTATTAGTTCATAAGATATTTCTATTAATTTCTCATCACATAATAGATTGTAAGATATATTATTTAGACTACACAATTATCTTAAATGATTTATTTAAGAATTTTATTGGACATGCTATACTTATCAGATTTTGCAATAGGGAATTTAATCTACGATATATTGTGCTGAAGTTTAATAAAAGAGGATATGTTGTGCATCATGTGTCGATTTGCGTCAGTGTAGATTGATACCTGATGCGCGTCACCTGAATCGTCTTCCATAGTAAACATTTTCTTTATTAATGAAATTACTTTTTATTCTATAAGTAAGTTTGTTTATCACAATTTATATCACGTTTCTTAATAGTCGTATTTTATGAAAAGGATGAAAAGGGTAAAATTCAAAGGATAAGTAAGAAGTCTATCAATAGTTAAAAAATTGTATACAAGACGTTAGCCTTCGTGATATAAACCAGTTATTTCACGTATCACTCGTATCAGCCTAAGGATGGTAAATGGTCTTTTTTTAGACTTATCCAGTCCTGACAGTTTTTAAAAGTTTTTTGAAAAGTAATAAAGCTACACACCCAAATTTTTATTATGTTACAGAATTAGTTAAAGACCAAAATGTGGCAAAATTTGGGTTTAATTCAATCAGCCAATTTAGAATTAAATAGGGTTTCATAGGTTTTTATGACAAAAGTCCTAAGACTGCAGTCTTTAAGCTAATTTGATCTCTGCTGGTCTTAAAAAAATTAAGATAAAGGCCAAATTTTGCCACTTTTTGGTTTTTAGCCAATTCTGCTATATTACAAAAAATTGAGTGTGTAGTCTTGTTACTTTTCTGTAAAATTTTCAAAGACTGAAAAAGACCAAAAGACCATTTTCCATCTTTATTAATCAGCCTCGATAACTATTACAGATTTAACGTTTAATTAGAACTTAATTTTATGTGACAAGTGACGCGCGTCAGTTATCAATCACATCTGACGCTACATCAGCTGCCACCTGACGCAAATCGATACTTGAGGCGCAACGTTTATATATATTTGTTCAATTGAAATTGATAGAATTGAAAGAATAATTAAATTATTTATAATCTTACAAACATTTGTGTTTCTAATTAATTAAATTATCAAATGTTTTCCAACCCATCAATTATTACCTGCTCGATTTCTAAGAACTCAACGTAATAAGTCGACTTTATTTGTAATTTTCAATGTTACAACAATATCGTTAGTTGTTTTACTTATGAAATTCAAAATTTACGTTTAAGATAATATCACTATATACTTGCTTGGTATTTAAAATCATTTTTTATAGCTTGTTGATCCTTTTTCCGAGTAAGCGTTATCATTAAAATCATCATCATGATTATCTTCTTCATTTAAAATCTCTACGCCTTCAAGATCATTATATTGTTCTTGTAGTTTTAGATATCTATTACGTGTGGTTCTTAATTTTTCTAAATAATAAGCATCAAGATAATACTCTTTTAATAAATGCTCTAATACAGCTACTCTATCTTCTATTTTAGCACCTTGTGGCATTTCACGTGGATCTTCCGCTAAAGGAATTCCTGCGTGAGAAACATATCTACTTGCTAAGTGTTTTTTAAAACTCCGACGAATCGGCCAACAGCATAACAATGAAGTTTGGCAAATCCCCCTTAAAAATAAATGAGCGTTAATAAAAATATTTTATCATCATCATTAATAATTTAATCCAAAATGTACGTGCATATTACCATGGAGAAAGTTTTGGTGCGCCAAATAATAAAATAAATATTCCACTTACAGCGCTATAGAAACCACCAAGATTTGAAATAAGTTTACCAACTAGAAAAAAAAATTGTATTAAAATTAATTAAAATAATATTTTAAATCAATTAATCAGCTTACCAGTAATTTGATATCTCTCCTCTTCATCTCTTATGTAAGAAGATTTGTATCTTAATTCCAGCACTGTAAAAGAAGTATTTTGCATTGAAGCAAGCGTCTCTTCATTAATTTCAATATGTGTTGCTTCCTCATTCGCCTTGAAACCAAATATCCCGTAAAAAGGTGAAGAATAGTACATTTGTCTTTTGATAGCAAATTCATAAATAACATATTGTCCTCGAACAATAAAATGTTGGTTAGGAATAAATGACAGATTTCCTTCATCCTCAAAAGGCTTACCGAATAAACTTGGTAATGTTGTAGTGGTATTAATTGAATTAAAATTAATTTCAAAATAATCATAATTTGATGAATTATCCAAAGTAATAATAAAAAGCAATCCTCCATGCAAATATCTTGAGCTGACGGTTATACCTCCGACAGATATTTGAGAATTAAATATCCTACAACGGTTATCTTTATCAAAAAACTTGTCATTTTCAGGATTGTTGTGTAAATCATATGTCATGTTAGGGTTATATGGATGGAGTGAATCTGTAAAATTAATTAAAAAAAGTTAATAATCAAATCATATTATAAAATACTCAGAAAAAAGAAACTAAATTTCTTACTTTCATTTAAACCATTATCAAAAAATAATGTTGAATTTAATTCATCACGATATAGATAATGTAATGATATTTCTAATGAATCATTATCATCGTAACTATCTATTTTATGAAGTTAATGTACGTGTTTTCTTTGAAATTCTTAAGAATATTACACACATTGTTAAATTCTTACTTGAAGTATTTGGGCAAATTCTGAATCCTATTAAAAAAATGGTCAATTAGAATTATATATATATTTTTTTATATTTAAAAGTAGTAGATACCTGGATATGTAAATCCTATAAGATTATAGTCTTTATCATAACTATTAACTCCTTCACTAAAGTACACGTCCGGTTTATAAATATTGGAAACGAATTCTACAACTGAAATCCACGTATAGAAACAAAGTCCAAATGTAAGAGCAATAACGCTCAACAATCGCAGTATGTTGAAAATTTTGGGCTCTGTACTTCGAAAACTTAGAAAAGATCGAAACATTTTTTAAAGGGAAATAATAGTTAATTAATAACTGCTGAAAGCAAAGCGAGAAAACTACATAATAGCAAACTCTTTATATCATTTAATTGTCTGAGAAGCTTTAACCGGTTAATTAACCAGTTAAAAATTCGGGCTATTGTATTTTTTTAATTTCAATCCAAGAACTTGCATTGACATGTTGGCGAGTAGTAACTGTTATTAATTTAACCGAGTGTAGTCTGTGTTTGTAGTTAGCCGCAAACCGTAGCCGCATTCCTGATTTGGATCCGGTTTAATCGCGGAAATTTCACCGATCAGACGCAATCTAAAAGCCAACTACGTTTAATCATGTGACTTCAAATAAACAATGAAAATTATTTGGCGAGTTGCTTATTTTAGCTAGGTTAACTGATTTGCTAGGTCCTATAATCAATTTACTTTGTTCCTTATCGGACGGGTTAGGGTTCAAATTGGTTCTTCTCAAACACAAGTGAGGGCCCGATTTTGATCTTTGATCATTTTTGGGTGGTAAAATGGTAATTTCCTTCTATAGCGCTTCATTCTTTTCTTTTGAATTGTAACAGCCTCGATAGGCAATTTCCTGCTTGACATAAAATAAATAAATAAATAAATAAAATAAATTTTAGCTAGGTTAACGTAACGTATTAAAATTTATAAATTACGATCCGAACACAGATAACGGCGTCATGGCTAAGTCCGGATTAATCCGTCAGATAATCCGTTATCGTTGAGCCACTTGATTTTAAATTGCCGGCCGATGTTCCGCCAACACTATGATTAACTTCAGGTACCCGGATATCGTTCAATTTAATTCAATTTGGATATACGGATAGTATTATAGTATAATTTAATCCAATAAGGATGTCGGCTAAATTTGTGTTTTCAATATGACGGATTACCTACGGCTATCCGGATCGCATCTCTAGAATTAGCCTCAAACCGTATCTCACAGAACAGGAATGCGGTACGCCACCACTTTTTTACCAAATATTCAAATAAATTAAAAAAAAAAAGATTTATTAGCAGTTAATAATTGAGTATTGTCAAAATTTTCTGTAAAAATATAGAAATTGAATTTCTGTGTATAAATATATAAATTTTATTTGCTATTTATTAAGTTTGGAATGAATTTGGCGGTTCATAATGCAGCGATTTTTTTAACGCATATTATGTGCATTAATAAATCACATGAGGATTAAATTCTGAACAATAAATTTCTTGCTTCCACGTGAGTTAGTTATAAACCGAGAATTCGACATACTGTATTTCATGTTATTTGCCATGTTTCTCTATATAAAAAATAAATAAATAGCATATTCATGGAATTTACACCTTGAAAAAAAAATAATTTTCCCTAGATTCACGGATGCTCGGATAAGATTTTTTTAGAGGGTTGCGGACTTTGAAAAGCCACAGCTAATGAATCTTGGAAGGGAGGAAACTGCTAGGAAAAATTTTTTTTGAGGTAAACTATATTTGGAAAAGAAAATTAATCTGTATTAACTGGTTAATAATTTTTTTTCATTTTCTATTAAATGCGTTCAGCAATCAGCAGTAATGCCTTTTTCTTTCATTGCTTTATAATATCATAAATATGATGCAAAAAATTTCTCGCTGTTTTAATATATTTAAGCAGTATTTAAGCATAAGTTTAAAAGAGAGTTTATTATGTTTTATTATTATCGTAAATTCTCTAGTTATCCTGATAGGAAACATTCACGTTTCGCTCATATTACATGATGAAGATATAGAGAATAATATGTTTTTTTTGTTGATATTTTCTTTATTAACAGTTTTGATGATTATATCAGGAATTGTTACAGTAATTAAAATATGTTCTTTTTATTAAATTTGTTTATTCATTAATCGTATTTTTCCTTATAGGCAACATTAAGAACTGTCAACCATATGATAATATATTTAATCATGAATATATCATGCATTATAATGTTCTTTTTACTGGGTTTTTATGAAAAGATTTATCTTGATGAGGAGTCTCCTGACCATTTGTTTTATGTGTATTATGTATCTCGTGTATATACGTATTTAAGTATGGCATTTTGTATTTGTTTTTTCATTATACTTATGAGAACTACGCTTAGAGCAAGGTGAATAAAATATTATTCGTGAATTGATTGCATCATAAAATTGTAAAATCTAATCTCTTCATATTTTAGGTTTAAAACAAGCTGTAGTAGTGAAATTAATACGAACGATCGCGAAATTCGAAGTTTGACTTTTTTTTTTTTACATTTACTAAAATTTTTCATACGCTTTTTTAATTGGTTTATTCATTTTTTTTTAGGAATTTACAAATGGTATTACTTGCAAAAAACTTTGTGTCATGCACAAATTATAGTTGCTTTATTTTTACATTTTAGTTATTTGTATGCACTTATGCCAGAGGATATAGAACTGCTTTCTTTCCTCAAAATTATACCTTGGCCAAACGCCAGTTTATGCATAATTGCATTTACAATGATTAAAGGGGTAATTGATTTGAATTCTTTTCCTTGATAAAAATTTGTCATATTAATTTCTTATTTATAGGTTCGTATGGAATCAAATCGCACTATGTTTGTTTTCTACGTTACTAACTTAATACTTTATGGATTTTATATTTATTTATTAAAAAATGAATTATTTCGAGGTAAATATGTATTTTTGTCGTGTTATATTTTAACATATTTCATTTGTCATTTTTGTAAGTGTATAATCATGAATAAATTATTCTCAATCATTATAATCAATTTTATTTAAATTGATAGAAAGGAAATTTGAAACGGTTAATTATTCAATAAAACCATTTTTGATAATTCCATCTTGTATAACGTTAGTTACGATAATAAATTCAATAATTTGTCAGAGAAATTTTGGAAAAGGATTAAAAATTTATTGTAAGTAAAAAAAAAAGTCTTTTATTTTATTTTATTATATTTTATTAAATATTTATTATTGTATATATTATTTAGTAAATTATGAACCGAAAATTATTGAGGAATTAATTATTTATAATGATGATATTAATCAATGTTATAAGGATGATGATGTTGAAACTGCTTCTACTGATTCTATTATTTAACATTAAAGTCAATAACGGTAGACAGCTTATCAACTCTTGAACTCGCTCTTTTTTTAGAGTTTGCGTTAGCGTTAGAAAAATAAATAAAATCCTTTTTTTAACTATTCTTTATGTATGTAATTTTTTTATTAATAAATATCTTTTACTAAGGATTGGGTTATCCACCTACATACGCATTATTATACTATATATACAGCTGGCTCATGAAAATCCATTTCCCGATAACTCCATTTCACCAAAAATTATTTTGGTTAGTCTTGCCTTGAAAATTCTTCGTATACGATAAATAAAATTATTTGTATGTACGGTATATGTGCAATTAGGGTTAAAAGAGAAGCAAGATTAGTTCTTGTTTCAATTAGTTTTATTATGACATCGTTTAACAATTGCCATATTTATTATATCAATGCTCAATGTTTTCACAATAGATCCAAATAGACAATGCCTATATTTGGCATCATATTTAATGGAATGAGAAAAATCCTATTCTATATTCACATATATCCGCCGATTTGCAGAATTGACCTTAAAATCGTATCATCCAAAAAAAATTTTAAAAGCCGTTATGGAAATGATCAGTGAACAATACCATCAAGTGCTAGTATATTAGCGTACGCGAAATTTTCAAAAAATTGATATCTTATTGTTTAAGTCAAGTGAATACATGTTCAAATAAAACCTTTATTTGAGTAACATCTAATGAAAGTACTTTCATGAAATGTGTTAACTATTAGTTAAGTTATTTATTATTGGTTTCTTATAGGTTATAATTTAAATAGATAAAATTACACCAATATAATAATCTATATTACTAAAAAAAATTCGTATGTAACCGTGACGTTTAGATTAACTTGTATAAATAATTTTGAATTGCGCTACTGTGATTCACCTGCGCCTGATCTATGTGTACCCATTTCGTTAAATTGATTACCTTGATAAAATGATTAAACTTTCCAAATTTATTTTAAATAACAGAAATACGTTAAAACAAATATATTACAGAATTCAGATAATATGAAAAAACAAAAGAAATTTCTCAATTTAATATTTTTCTAATTCATTTATATCGATCATACATGAATCATTCGAGTTATTTGACCATTCTAATAACAAGTGTTTGTAATAATAAAGTGATTAATATGTGAGAGTGTTAAAATTTTATTATAAAAAAAATAAAAAAAAAATATTAAAATTTACCTTCACTATTATATTTGGATAATTGACTTTCCAATGTGTATTCTAAAATAAAATCATCGATAATATTAATAATATTCAAAATATTTATTTTGAGAAAATAAAATAATATTATTATATACCATCATAAGAATTTCTATATGTAGAAAACAGAGCTTCTTTAAAACTAAGTTTACTAGTTAGTAATGAATCTTTCGATTGATTGATTTCATTTTCTTCTTCTTGTACTTTTGAATATTGTGACTGATCGTTAACTTCATTTTCTTCTTCTGCTTGTGATTTTAATCGGAATTCTTCTGCTAAATCTTCCCTGGTATTCATGAGATAAAATATCATTGAACCTATTACAAAATTGATATATTCAATTGTCGGTCTTTTTTGTGGGTTCGCATCCCAACAAGATTCTATTAACTTTTTCAAATGTTCTGGAGTTCTTTCTTCAAATTTTGGTCTTAAACCTTTACAAATTTCAAAACTTAAAAAAAGTTCATCATTTCTTTCACTTGCAAACGCCATTTTTTGTGTAATTATTTCCCAATAAAGAATTCCTAAACTATAAATATCTGATTTTATAGTACGAGTTCCATCACCATTTACAATCTCAGGTGCTGTGTACGCTAATACTCCATTGATTTTTGTATCACTAGTAACCTTGTATGCAGGTATGCTAATTCCAAAATCACTAATATATATTTCTGAAACATTTTCGTAAAATATATTTCCACTGTGAATATCACAATGTAAAAATCCTGCATCATGAATTAATTTTATTCCTTCAGAAATTTTCTGAATTAAATATAATTTCTCTAACCAGTTTGTTATTTTTTTCCTGGATAGCATATTTAATAAACTTCCTTTTTTCATATAATTTGTAACTATAATGTAATTTTTAGTACTAGGATTTCGTGATATACCTAATACTTTAAGCGTATATGGATTATTATTAAATTGAATATTCAATCTTAACTAAAAATATAAAAAAAAAATAGTTAATAACATCTTTTATAATCAAAAAAATAATTATGATTTATTATTTTACCTCATTTAAAAAATTGTCATTAATATTAGAAGAATTATTTAATTCCTTTAAAGCGACAAGCATATTTTTATTTCTAATATAATCGTGATCACGATAATTCCGGGAAAGGATTTGTCCATGGATCCAATTAGCACGATATACTCTAGAAAATCCTCCACGTGCAAAATGTTCTATATTCTCAAAATCATCATAAGGAATCCACTCAATTACTTGACATGTTTTTTCAGCATTAAGTTGCGTTTTTCTAATAATATCATTGATCGTTTCATCTCCACTATCCCATTTCGAAAAGTTATCTTGAAATCGTTTTGAATGACAATATTTACACCACAAATTCTTATCTTTAAATAGTAAATTACATTCTATACATCTACCATAGCCAAAAAATCCATAATAAGCACGATAAATAAAGCGATCAAAAAACTTAATATGGATTAATTCAAATAAGAGGGAAATATATTGTAAGGTTAGTAATGGATCTGATAAAATGAAATAAGTTAATATAGGAATAAATATTGATAAAATGAAATAAGTTAATATAGGAATAAATATATGACCCAATAAGAAGGTAATGATTTTTATAATAGGAGACAAAACAAATGTATTAAATAAGAATATTAATGCACTTATTACTGGGTTGATTACTAGTTTTATTATATAATACCAAATATGATAAATTGTTGATTTAAATGCATTAAGAATAGGGATCGTAATAAATGATATTGGACTAAAAATAATAATAAGTGCTTCTTTTATATAATAGTAGAAAAAAAGTAATATTTTTGAAAATAATTTTACAAATAATACGAATTTAATTACGAAGCGAATATAATAAAAAATAAAATAAAATGCTAAAAATACAAAAATTGGATATAATGGCAATTCATGTTTTAAATGATCTTCGATGTAAGTTAGATATTCAAGATTGCCTTCTTCATTTGCTGCAAAGGTTGCAAAGGTAGGTATATCATGATATACAAACAAACAACTTTTAAAATATTCGACTAAACCTTTTATTATGGTTAATTTTATAATAATATATTTACGCCCATCATTAGGTAAAAAACATAAATTCATTAGAATTATTAGAAAGTATATAATAAAATAAGCATTACGTAAGAGGTAATGAATTTGCCATTGAAAATATTTGGATATAATATCGAAAATAATAAAATATATTGCTAATTTTTTAAATGAAACCATTGCTTAACAGCATACCAGGGAAAAGGAGAAGCTTTATATAAGTTCAAACTTACAATTAAAATTTTATTTTATTTAATTAGGAAATTATTTTTTGTTCATTTGTTTATTGTTTATAAAATGTTTCACGATTTATTCTCTCGCGGTTCACCAACAAAATTCGATAGTACCAGTGGAAGTTTCTAATGGCATTTTCTAAAATTAGATATTCCATTAGAAAAATTAAAATTCTTTGAAGAAATTCTTTCTTGTAAAGAATTTATTTTTTAAGATAGAGTTCTGACTAGAAACTTCTAGGTGTGGAATTTTTAGTACATAGATAAAGTATGAAAATCTTTCATATGGTATGACGTTATACTCGATTTAGAAAAAAGTATAAATTGATGTACTGTACATCATGCAGTTTTTGCTATGAATTATTTCCGTACTGTACATTCATTCATATAATACTGCTGATTGGCCAAAAATGATCAAATGAATGTCCTTTAAAGGAGGAGCGTCTCTTCGAAACAGAATTATGATCTTTAATGAAATTAATTTAAAGTGAACAACGAATCTATAATTATTTTCTATGCTTGTACCTCTCCCACTTCGTCTTACCCAGATCCCAAAAACCCCTTCCCGTTTCAAATCTTATACAAAAACATATAACACAAATTTCTTTTTTTTCTAGAATATTAAATTTCATATTACATGAAATCCATATAGGTTGAGTTTAGTGAAATCTATTGCTTTTATAAATCTAAAAAAAAATAATTGTACTAAAAGACGAAATAAATAATAATAATAATATACTCATAAAGTTAATAAAAAAAAAATATGTATAAAAATAAATAAAAAATTACATAAAAAATATTAGTGAAGATTATTAGGATGAAAAATATTAAAAATTCAGTTTTAAAAGAAAAATTGGCAAAAAAATTATCAGTTATTAGTTTTAAAAACTGAAAAAATAATATTAAAAAAGATTCGGTCTAACAAAAGAGACCGAAACAAAGATCCAGTCTAAAAAAAAGATTTTAAAATCAAACGTTCGAATAGCAGCTTTTTTTGTTAATTAGCAAAAAAACATATCCGATTAAAATTTTCTTTAATCGGAATTGCATTGGCGATTGGCGATGAAAATCTCTCGGACTGGTTACGTAGCGGACTATTAAAAAGTCCCTAACCTATAAAATGAGCGTTCCTTCCCGCCATTCCATAAATATTTACTATATATTTTATTTTACTCTGTATCGTCGCTAGCCCAGTGAAAATTTCGCGATCACGTGATCGCGATTTAATTCATCGCGTTGGGGACTTCTTTTTTTCAAATAGATAAGTGAACATAACGCCGTAATGCGGGCAAGAGATCACATGATCGAAATATTTCACTGCGTAGTGATGGAGATTTCTCGGCGAATATATGGTGAAAATGCCACGTGTCCGAAATATTATGATTTATGGACGTTTAAGAAACGGAAAATTTGTAAACACACGTAATCTTTATTTATGCTTTGTCATGAAACTTACTTCTTTAATCATGAACGCTTAACTATTTGTCATTATTGATCATAACTATACATACATTTTCCATCTGGCTCCTTACGCCTTGTCTAAAAAAAAAAATGTCAAAGCTCAGCGAAGATGTACTTTTTCTTATATCAGAAAATTTGAAAGATGATATAATATCGCTTTATTCATGTCTTTTAGTTAACACAGTGTGGTGTAGGATAATGGTTCCTAATTTATGGAAAATTCCTGGACGAATTCCTCTAACTAAAAAAGTGAATGATATATTATTTAATGTGATACTTTTACATTTATCAGAAGAGTCAAGAGATACTTTGAAGAACCAGGGAATTAATATTATTACAGAAACATCTCAACGGCCTTTACTATTCAATTATATTAGTTTATGGAAATGGTTGAATTTAGAACTTTTATTAGAAACTATGATTATTTCAAAAAATATTGAAAAATCCAAAATGTCCATTATAAGAAATGAAATATTGAAGTTATTTATTAACAGAAATACAAAGTTTAATTATCTTTATATTCCAAACGATTTTGATCATCAATTACTATATGATATTTCATGGGCTGAGAGTTGCTTTTCAGAACTTGAATTTTTTAATTACAATAATATGAATCAAAATATATTAAAAGAATTAGCTAAAGTAAGCAAATCAATTAAAAAGCTCATAATTCACCTTATTGATGATGATATTTCTGGAATTGTTAGGTTAATTGAAGCTCAAAAAAATCTAAGTGAAGTTCATATTTTCTGTTATCCAGGTCTGAATTATGAATCACTTAAAACTGTCGAAAAGTCACTAATTAAAAATGCAACTTCTATTCAAAATTTAACTATGGGTTGGAAGCCTATTATTACAAAATTTCTTTTATATTTTGTAAATTTAAAGAGTTTGGTAATGAAAGATAATATAATGGAAAATTATCCAGATTGGTGCCAAATGTCTTTACCTGTTTTAAAAGCCTTAAGAACTTATTATATCCCAGCTAATTTTTTAGTAAGATTAATTGAAAGTACAAGTGGGCATCTTACTACGATAAGTATTTTTTGTGAAGTTATTTTATATAAAGGTGCTGATACTGGAAGACTTATCCAAGCAATCTATCAAAATTGTCCAAATCTTAGATATCTTAAAACACCGATAAAAAATTGTAATCTTCCAGAATTTAAAAGGTTATTAACTAATTGTCAAGATTTAAATGGATTAATTATTATAGATGAAAAAAGGCTTAATTATGAAGAATTATTTAATATATTAACTGAATCATCACCAAAAAGTTTATTTAAATTTAAATTTATTTTTAATAAGAAATTCGGAAATAAATTAACGTCATTAAAATCAATTTTTGATAATTGGAAAGATAGAAAACCTATATTATTACAAATCGATCTTGTGAATTGTTTTACTCAACAGGAGGAACAGGAAATGAAAGATATAATAGAAAAATACAAAGCAAAAGAAATCATTAAAAGATTTGACCTTAATGTAGTATATGATGTTGAAGAATTTGAATGGGTCCAAGAATAATCTTATTCTCAATCATAATTAATACTATATTTGTAGTAAATAGTTTCAATTGTAGTTATTTAAAGATTTTCTTTCTTAATATGAATATTACTTCTACCGTTCTAACGTTATCGTATGGTGCTTGTGTGCCTGTCAACTCTATTTTTTAAAGGCACAATTTCACAAATATGAATTAATTTTGCAATATATAACTCAAAATTAATTAGATATATTTATGATGCAGTTTTGTTCATAAAATGAAAGTAAAAAAAAATTATTTACTGTAGCTAATTATATATCTAACGCGCGTTAGTCGTAATCGTCAAGGAATAAATTTAATTGCAACTGTTTATTTTTTTAGTAAAAGAGGATATGATACATTTTAAACCCTATTATATTATAAAAGCACCCGTACCATATTTATGAAACCGAATTTTGAATTAAAGAGCGCACTCGGGTAAAGAAATTTGATCACGTGCAACCAATCATTTATCTTTATGAAGTGTGTAACCTAAGATTAATATACACGCTGGCCATACTTTACAGTGGGTAGAACATCGATGCTGTACCATGTTGTCTTATATTAGTTTAATTTATATTATCAGTTATGTAATAGCATTTATTTTAGATTAAATCATTTTAAATTTTGTTCTTTAATTTATGAAATTTCATTATTTAAAAAATACATGATTGGTTCGTGCCGTACGGTTTATTTTTAAATAGATAAAAAATAACTAGCGCTTATTATTTTCAAATTTGCTTTTTCTGCGTCAAAATTTGATTTGTATAAGACCGAAGTAGTTCACAAGACCGTTTTTAGATGTGACCGAGATCGGAGGGAACGGATCAAGCTTATTACTAAATAAAGCCTTGAATACGAATGAAAATTTTTTGAAATTAAAGTCAGTGTAAATTAAAGTCAGTGTATAATAATACATCTAGGCTATAGCTAGGAAAATAGTAAATGAATATTCATACAAAAAAAAATACGTATTTATAAACTTAAAATTCGTATTTCTTTTCAACTTGTTGGTTGTTGCTAAAACTTAGATATACGTAGACTGTGGTCATATTTTTTTTTGACACTGATAACAATAACGTAGAAATTAATAAAACGAAATCCAGATTGACAATTTCTTTCATGACATTATTACTACTTTTAAAAATTTCGTTATAATAAAATATTTAGAGTTTGGTATATCGAATTTCATTGTGGAACATAAAACCCTTAACCAGTTATAATCGGCTAGCCAATGTCATAACCAGTTAATTAACTAGTTAATTTAACGGTTAACTTGTGATATGGTTAACTAACATGTTTTTCAATTTATTTTATTGTAAATACTAAATATTTATATGAAATACATGTATTTATATATTTAATAGCATGTAAAAAATCTAACCGCTTAATAACTCACTAAAACTTAATTCTGGCCGGCATTAAAATTTGACCAGAATTAATGCATTACGCAAAATTTTAAATTTAAATTTCGGCCAGAATTAAGCTTCAATTTATGTAAAAAAAAATTATATTTATAATTTAAAAATATGTAAAAAAGTTATTTTCTCCGTTAAAATTTCGATATATAAATATAATGGTCTTTGTCATGTTTAGTCGGATAAATTAACAAGTTAATTTGACTGGTTAAATTATTAATAATAAATTAATATAAAGTTTATTGTTCCACATTACAAAATTCAACGAAGATCTATCATCATAAACTTTAATTATCACAAACAAAAATGACGTGTAACATTGTTTACAAATGAATTAATTTAAAATTTGTTTAGTTAACAAGCGGAGTTAATTAACCAATTAAATTATAAAAAATTTTACGTAAATAATCAACAAATCAATCATAAACAAGGAAATTAAATAAGATATAAAAAGAGTAAAAATTGATCTTTTCGTTTTTTTTTTTTTAGTACTTGCTATATAGTCACAAACTTTGTTACCTATTAAAATCTTTTTAATTAATTTTTAACTTGCCAATTTTTTTTATTGCCGCAGCTTAATTGCTCTTTATTTTTTGCTAGAAACAAATATTTTCTTACATATAACCTATCAAATGATAAGAAAAGAGAGAAAAAAAGGACCTGTTTGGGAACATTTTAATAGCGGAAATAAAAATGATGATTCACACCCTCATGTACAATGTAAATACTGTTCGAAAGCTTTTCAAAGAGCTGTTCCTGAACGAATGCAAACACATCTTGACAAAAAATGTCCTAAAGCACCAATTAATTCAAAATCACAATCAGTACAAAAGAATGCTACATCAATATATATAATTGACCACATTGGCCATACGAATGAAGAAATGTTAAGAAAAAAGAAACCTGTTTGGGAAAACTTTAACGTAATTGGTAAATATGATGATTCACATCCTCACGTACAATGTAAATATTGTTATAAAGAATTTAAACGAGCTGTTCCTCAACGAATGCAAGTCCATATTGAAAATTGTCTAGAAGCGTCTAATAATGCAAAATTACAATCTAAAATACAAAATACTACGTCAACAATTGATAATATTAATGATCATATGAGTGAAGATGAGCAAAAATTTCTTGAATCTCTACTAGCTAAAGCATTATCTTCAGCCGAAATTCCTTCTTCTTTTGTTGATAATCCACTTGTTATTCAATTTTTTAAACGCCTTCAGCCATCCTTTAAGTTACCAAATGGAGAACAGATAAAAATGCAAATGAATGATAATAGCGACCAATTAAGATCTTTAAATAATAATAATAATACATGCAATGATGAAAACTGTTATCAACTTTGGATAAGAGACGAAAAAAATGCTAATAAGGGCGATAATATTTCAATAAATGATTTTGGAAATTTTTATCAAAATGAAATAGAGACTGAAAATAATGAAACAAAAGCATTTGAATTATATAAAGAAGCGGCCGAGAAAGGACACATTAATTCTATTTCTCAACTTGGTTATTGTTATGATTATGGGATAGGAACTGAAAAAAATGAAACTAAAGCATTTGAATTTTATAAAATGGCGGCTCAAAAAGGCCACATTAAATCAATATTTAATCTTGGAATTTATTATCAACATGGAATAGGTACCGAAAGAAATGAAATTAAAGCATTTGAATTATATAAAGAAGCAGCTAAAAGAGGACATCTTGATTCAATACATAATCTTGGATATTGTTATCAACACGGAATAGGGACTGAAAAGGATGAAATTAAAGCACTTGAATTATACCGAGAAGCAGCTAGTAAAGGTCATGTTAACTCAATTTTTAATCTTGGAAGTTGTTATGAAAATGGAATAGGAACCGAAAAAGACATAATTAATGCATTTGAATTATATAAAGCAGCGGCTGAAAAGGAACATATTGCTTCAATGTTTAATCTTGGATATTGTTATCAGCATGGAATAGGGACTGAAAAAAATGAAATTAAAGCATTTGAATTATATAAAGAAGCAGCTGAAAAAGGTGATCCTAGTTCATCACATAATCTTGGATGTTGTTATTATTATGGAATAGGAATTGAAAAAAATGTAATTAAAGCATTTGAATTTTATAATGAAGCAGCTAAAAAAGGACATATTGATTCGATTTACAATATTGGTTGGTGTTATCAAAATGGAATAGGGACTGAAAAAAATGAAACAAAAGCATTTGAATTATATAAGGAAGTGGCTGAGAGAGGACACATTAATTCAATTTTTATACTTGGTTATTGCTATGATCATGGAATAGGAACCGAAAAAAATGAAATTAAAGCATTTGGATTTTATAATGAAGCAGCTAAAAGGGGACATATTGACTCGATATACAACCTTGGATGGTATTATGAAAACGGAACAGGGACTGAAAAAGATGAAATTAAAGCATTTGAATTATATAAAGTAGTGGCTGAAAGAGGACACATTAATTCGATTTTTAAACTTGGATATTGTTATGATCATGGAATAGGAACTGAAAAAAATAAAACCAAAGCATTTGAATTTTATAAAATGGCAGCTAATAAAGGCCACATTAACTCAATTTTTAATCTTGGAATTTTTTATCAACATGGAATAGGGACTGAAAAAAATGAAATTAAGGCATTTGAATTATATAAAGTAGTGGCTGAAAGAGGACATATTAATTCAATTTTTAAACTTGGATATTGTTATGATCATGGAATAGGAACTGAAAAAAATAAAACTAAAGCATTTGAATTTTATAAAATGGCAGCTAATAAAGGCCACGTCAGCTCAATTTTTAATCTTGGAATTTTTTATCAGCAAGGAATAGGAACTGAAAAAAATGAAATTAAAGCATTTGAATTATATAAAGAAGCGGCTAAGAAAGGTCATATCAATTCAATTTTTAATCTTGGAAGTTGTTATGAAAATGGAATAGGGACTGAAAAAAATGAAAATAAAGCATTTATATTCTACAAAGAATCATTTGAGAAAGGTGATATTATATCAATATATCAACTTGGTAATTGTTATCAACATGGAATAGGAACAAAGAAAAATGAAATTAAAGCATTTGAATTATATAAGGAAGCAGCTAATAAAGGCCACATTAACTCAATTTTTTGTCTTGGAAATTGTTATGGAAAAGGGATAGGAACTGAAAAAAATGACACCAAAGCATTTGAATTTTATAAAATGGCGGCTCAAAAAGGTCACATTAAATCAATTTTTAATCTTGGAATTTATTATCAACATGGAATAGGTACTGAAAAAAATGAAATTAAAGCATTTGAATTATATAAAGAAGCAGCTGAAAAAGGTGACCCTAGTTCGTCACATAAACTTGGATGTTGTTATTATTATGGAATAGGAGCTGAAAAAAATGTAATTAAAGCATTTGAATTTTATAAGGAAGCGGCCGAAAAAGGTCTAGTTGATTCAATGTATAAACTTGGATATTGTTATCGGTATGGAATTGGAACTGAAATAAATGTATATAAATCATTTGAATATTACAACAAAGCGGAGAAAACAGTCCATAACATTTGAAAATGTTTTTCTTTTGGCTGAATAATGTATCATCGCAATTGACTAAAAAAAAATCAATGCAAGTTTTATATATTCGCAATAATTAGCGTAAAAGTGATAAAATTTATTCGCCAAAATACGTAATAAAGATATATTTGAGTGCTTAGCGAAATCTCTACTGTAGTTTAATTCTGCGGTAAAATATACTGTTTTGCCGGGGTCTAGATCATTTTATCATTTTACCGACAGTCATTTCACCGACAGTTTTGAAATCCTAATCCACTTATCCTAACCTTATCCTAACCCTAATCCTAACTTTAATTTCCTTACCTAACTCTAATCCTAAATTCCCTTGTCGGTGAGATGACTGTTGGGAAACATTTGTCTGCGAAATGATCCTGTCGGTGAAACGTCTGTCGGTGAGATAATTTATTGTCGGTGAAATGAATGCGACCCTTACAAAGCAGAATTTAGATTTTTTTTTTTGTTTTTATAGTAAAAATTAATTATTATAAAGTTAGTCAACATTTAAAGCTATTTGATGTTGAAACAGCTACATAAAGATGGGTAAAAATTATATTGCGTCAAATTTCATAACATGCAGGGCGAGTAGTAGGGATGGTTCGGTACCTATACTATTGAAAAAATCGAGTTGAGCAGCAAATCGAAAACCGGTTCGGTTCCATAATCGGTTTTTGTCGCTTCGGTCCAGATCCGAGTCAGTATATATCAAAATTATTTGGAACCAATGTACCAAACTGAACGGAACGAACCGACTCAAGTCGTTTAACCCGAACTTTTTCCATCCCTACATGCAGGACATCCGTCATGTTAATTCCTTACCGAGAGTAATTCATGACAAAATAAAAATAACACAATTGTGTTCGGAACTATTTTTATCTTATTCTGCACCTGCATCTTTAGATCCTCGATCTCATAACGCATTTTCTTATTTGCATTAACCCGTTCTTTATATTCCTTCACTGGTCGAAATCATTTCTTTTATCAATAAGACCTTTTGGCAATAATTTGGCAAATCGATCACATGATTCACGGAGCTTTATCGAATTTTAGCGAATGTATCAAGTGTCTCTGCATGCGACTCGTTTATTATGAAATTTGTGTTTAATTTTGATATTGATAAATTGAACAATTAAAAATTTTTTGATAATTATTCAATTTATTTATTGATACGGATGATGCCTATTTAAAAAGCCTATCAATGTTATATAAGAAAGTTTCCCTATAAAAAATTTTTTAGAAAATTAATCACATATCGGAATGAAAACTAAAAAAAAACGATCATTTATCGGAATTTTTCCCAGAAAATTTTTTATAGGTTTTATGGTCGAAACCGTGAGCTATTCCGCAGTCACCTGATTTCACTGCTGCGCCGTAGAATAAACGTTAAGTATTTATGTAGTTAATATTAATTATATTCTATGTCATTTATTTTTAATTTATTGTGCACTTTAAATTATTAATACACAAAATCTATTTTCACATATACTATATATTCTGTACTATTATTTTTTATTATTTTAGCGATCGTTATTCAGATGAGTAAAAAAAAGGGGGCTAGTACACGAGACTAACCTCGTGATTTATCTAATATAATTACGATGAATAGGCCTAGAGAGAGTTAAGTAAAAAAACGCCATATATACTGTATTATATTATTTATGCGTGAAGATCACCTCAAATGGACAATATTTTCCTTTTACTTAATACCATGCATGGATGCTGTCATTATGTTATAATTTTGAAATTATTCGTTTTTATTACCGAATCCTTCCTGAAAAAGTAATCAATGGCGGTTATTTCTCAAGGAAATTGGATGAGATTAAATTACCTGATTTTTTTTTTTTTTCGTTTAGCCAGTTCGATATATACCGAGGGTTTGCTAGAATTCTTTGTAAAAATAAATACAATATACCGATTCCACTCAAAAATGAATAGAAAAGAAATCATGAGAGATATGTCAGTTGGAATTGAAACAACAAGGGACTTTTTAAAAGTTTTACGTTTCTACGAAATTAGTATAATGTTTCAGGCATAAAAATACAAAAATTGGTCACGTTATCGGACCTAAAGAGTACGGAATAGGTAAATCAATAATGAATACTGTTCATATGACCTGGTATTTGTAACTATTTGTAACTCTAGTTTAATTTGTTGGGATCATCCTATATATTAGTATATTCTAAATAAGAATTGGTATGATACACTAGTTTTCACAATAACTAATGGTAAACAATAAGCGTGATTATTGCATAATTTTTAAAATGTTTTTAATGAATAATTTATTACTTTAACGACTCCACACATAAAGTAAAATCGAATGTTTCTCGTTAGACAGAAAATAAAAATAAAAATAAACATTAAATCTTCCGGTTTCTCCCTTAATATAACCACTAAATTATGTCATATAACCTATTGATTAAATGAACTGTTTTCCTTAAAAGGAGAAAATTTAATTCCATGCATATTACTAATGCACGTCGGAAGTAATGTTACTAATGTCACTCATCATAAAAATATTATTAACCTCGTGATCATTATTTTAATGTGGCGTGGTAGATCGAATTTCAATGAGTCATTTTTGTTTACAGATTTCGTTTATATAAAGATTGAAATCTTCCATCTTTTCAGTTTTTTTTTACTAAGCGGACTTTTTTCAAAGTACAAAAAAATTTATATATAAATCAAAAAAAAATTCTTTTTATTTCTTTTATAAAAATTACAAAATAATTTTTTCACTTGAAAATTTTTACGCTTGAAAATCGTAAGTTTTTGGCAATTTTTAGATAAAATAATAACTTTAATTTTGTATTACTTCTTCTCGTTAACCTTAAACATATTTTTTTTTTTTAGATTATGTCTTTATCTACAGCCTATCAATCACTTTCAGCACTTGTCCCAGCCAGATTTCAAAAATTAACAGCAGATTATAAAACGTCGATTGAAAAATTACGACCACAAAGATTACTCTCAGCTTTAGCAATTTTACCGTATTATGCATCAACTGCAATTCCATCAACTATATGTACTTTTACAATTCTTTACGTACCAATCATTTGTAAATTTGAATATCAATTATATAAACAATTTTATAAAAATGGATTATTGAGACCAACATATCAATCATTTACAGCATTTTCTACATTAGTCACTGGTTCAATTCTATTACCTATATTAGTATTAGTGGGCGATTTAATATTTATGTTTACTGTCGTAATCGCTTCTGTTGGTGCTGTTGTTATGACAATGTATGGTGGTCTTGAATGTGGAATAGAATTTTGTAATAGAGTTGCTATGAGCGTACCTGAAACGTATTGGGAAATGATCTTTCCATCAAAGAATCCTGAAGAAAAAATTATCGATTTGGAATTAGATTATTAATTAATTTATTTATTTAATACTACGATGAAAATAGAAAGCAAATTTTTCGCATATTACATTTGCATGTATACATGTATTATAATATTATTATAATATTTTTAGAATATATTATATATTTAGAATATATTATTATTAGGTACATTAATGTAATATTTTGTGTGGCGCAAAACTTAACCGTCTGTGTCATAATAACAAATTTTTTTAAATTTTTTTTTTTTTATTCTAAAAGTGTAAAATGATGTACGTGCATGAAAACATATTACGTCACAAAATTTACTTATCGTAATCGATCATGAGCTTGTTTTACATCAATATAAATTTCATAATAAAGAAACATATGAAAGTTGGATATATATTAACTTTTAAATCATGACGTTTTTCAATTTTTATTATAAATATCAATTTTTTTTTTTTTATTAACTTTGTCTTCTCTCACTTTTTCTTTCTTTTTTTGCTTCTTTGTTGTACAAGATGGGAAAAGATACACCTACTAAAGTTGTGAAAGAAGAATCTATGGAATCTATTGAATATGATACAAATAGTGGTCAAGATGAAGAAATGAAAGATGTCGAGCACGTAGTAAGACAAATAATATATATATTTTTTTTGTGATCAACTTCCTAAAAACTCTTGTTTATTATTTATTTACACCAAACGTTTTTTTCTTATCTTTACTAAATTATGTATTTATTTGTTTGTTTGTTTATTGTTATTTTTTATTTAGACAATTAAACAAGAAACACAAATCACACCGCCACCACCATCACAATCAGCTACTTCACTTGATCAACAAAAAATCTCTTCCGAAACGGTCGGCTTACAACAACAGCAACAAACAACATCAACATCATCATCAACATCACCATTAACTCCTCCATCTACACAACCTGAAGCTACTAATGAAATTGAACAACCAAAAGTAACAAAAAAAAGAGGTCGTAAAACAACAGCTAAACCTGCAACTTCCGTTAAACGTAAAAAAACTACCACTAAAAAAGTCGAGAAAGTGGAAGAATCTGAAAATGATATGAAACTTAAAAAAGATGATGAAAAACTTAAAGATGTTAAACTTAAAGAAGGCGAAAAAATTAAAGAAGATGAGAGTAATTCAAGTTTAGGCGTATTCGATTTTACTGAATCAGATGATGAAAGTGAAGATGTAGATCAATTGATGCCATCTTCCAAATCATCATCTAAAAAGAAATCATCAGTAAATAATCAAAAATCAACAACTAAAAAATCTTCTAAAAAATCTTCCACAGAAACTAAAAAAATTAAAAGCCCATGGCAACCAGATGAAGATAAAATTTTGATCGATAAAATTTTAGGTGAGATGCCAAGCCCTTCCTGGTCAAAAATTTCCCAGTCGTTAAAAGATAGAAATGCTAATGCTTGTTTGGTACGTTGGAAAACTTTAAAAAAAAGATTGTATCAAAATTAAAAATTGGTGGTCATAGAGGTTCTTTATCTATTAGAGGTTATTTTGGTAGATATTTTATTAGACTTGAGATTATTGTAAAAATTTATTCAGAGTAGAGTTTATTCATTATGTCTATGTTATGTATATGGTACAATATTTTACACAGTTAGCATGTTATTCTTTTATTATATTATTTTATCAAATAAATAATATGATGATCTTTGTTCGCACAACTGACGTTTATTATCATTTATGGAAAATTCCAACCACTTTTTGAATGCAAGCGTTATTAATATTTTAATTGACGTTATTAATTATTACCTCGTTATTATATGGCCCAGTAATTATATGGCTCAGTAATTATATGGCTCAGTAAATAATAATCACATTAATTCTATAAATAAATCTCATTCGGAATTATTGTTCCATGCGTAGTAATTTTTAGTACTTTCAAACTAATTAAGAGGTATGAATGTGATTGTATGTCGATTTCTGTCTAGATTGTCTAGATTTATGATTTTCGATTATTAAATTTTTTAAACAATGATCTCCGCTAAATTGGTAACATTTGGTAATAGTTTACCAAAATTAATCGGCATTAGATTTTTAGGGATTAGCAAAAAATTAGGGTATTATGTATTCTTATTTCTTAAAATAGAAAAGAAAAAAAAAAAGAATGATCGATTTTCTTTGACAAATTTTATTTTTTTATTTTATTTATTTTATTTATTATTATTATATAAAATAACCGATGAAATGATAAAATTACCAAAGAAAAATCAGAAATTTTTAACCATTTTTTTTTCGTTAAAAAAAAAAAGAAAATCATTCGAATCATTAAAAGATTTTATAAGATGAAAAAAGATTTTATAAAATTCACTTACAATTCTGTTAAAATAGGAATAAAAAAATTTCATAATAATAATAATAATAATAATAATAACAATCAAAAGAATAAAAATAATGATGATGATAACAATAATAATAACAATAAAAAAAATGAAAATGAAAAAAATATAAAAATAAAATTAAAAAATGATAATTTATCAAATAAGAATAATAATTCTATATCATTTTCATTTTTTAAAAAGAATGATAATGTATTTAATGTTATATTAGATGATGATGATGATGATGATAAAAGATTTAAAAAAAAATCTAAAAAAAATTTTCTAGAAAGAAAAATTCCTATTTCACTTCTTAATAAACCTTTTATTTACAAGAGGGATAATAATAATGAAGGGTCGAAAAAAATTTTGAAAGAAATGAACAATGAATTAGGAGATAATAATAATATTGAATCAGATGAAGGAAAAAATATTAAATTTGATCCAATTAATGAATTAGATGATGATGAGAAAATCTCGACTAGTTTTACAATTAATGAATCAGATGATGAGAAAAAATCGTCGGTAAACAACGAGGAAAACGAGGATTTTATATTCGAAAAACAAATTATTCCATTATCCGCAAATCAAGTTAACGATGAATCAGGCACTTCGGAAATTCGACATGTTAAGTCGAACGGATCTGTTCCTGAGGATGATCAAAAATTTACGATTTCATATCACAGCGCCAAAATGAAATATGAATCTGGCTTGGAATACAATAAGAAAATTGCCATTAAATATGAAGAGATGATAAAGATCAGCAAGAAATTAAAGCCCTCGATTCAAGGTAATGAGAAACAATCTGATATTAAATATGAAGAAGTAATTAAAAGCAACGCCTCCGGAGCTTATCCTACCAGATTGATTCAAGACAAGAATAACATTGTTGAATATGAAGGGGTGGTAAAGAATAATAACAAGAAATTAGTTGATAACAATGATGTTATAAAAGAGAATGAGGAGTCAGAAAAAAATTTACGTGAAACTCATCAAAGTATTTTTGTTGGCTCAGATTTTAAAGTAATAAGTAAGAGATTAGATGAGCTTAGACCAGATTCGGCAGATTCGGTTAAATTGGATGATGATAAGAAAATCTCGGTTAATAATACTACTATTAATGGATCAAATAATGAGAAAATCTTGTTAGTGAACAATCAGAAAAATGATGAATCTATAATTGAGGAACATATCACTCCATTATCCACAAATCAAGTCAACAATGATGAATCAGGCGCTTTGGAAATTCAATATGTTAAGTCGAACGAATTTTTTTCCGAGAATAAAAATCTTGACGCGCCTATTAATACAGCTTTTCTCGAAAAAAATAATTTTCATATTAAAGGCGATATAAATTCGGATCAAATGAAATACAAATCCGGCTCACGATATAATAAGAAAATTGTAACTAAATATGAAGAGATGACGAAGAACAACAAGAAATTAACACAAACTTGTATTATCCCGGATCGAATATTGCATGGCAGTTGCGTAAGGTGTCACAATCCATTAGTTGCTAAAGATTGGTGTAAGTCTTGTCAAACTGGTATTTTTAAACAAAATTTTAAGAATTGGGCGAGTGGTAATTCGGAAGTTGATGAATTAATCCAAAATAGTCAATTAGAAGCAACGGATAGTTTAAACTATCTCGAATGGATTGACCATAAGGAGATCGTAAATATTGAGTATATAACTAAAGGTGGATTTGGTAAGATATTTAAAGGCATATGGATTAGGGGACCTAGACTTAAATATAGTACGACGGAAAGGGCCTGGGATAATATTCCTAATACAACTATCGCTTTAAAAGAACTTAATAATCAAGAAGACTTTAATCAATTTTTAGCCGAGGTAATATTCCGGAATTTAGTTTATTTAATAATAAAATGTTATTAATAAAAAAAATGAACGTTTTAATCTATAGGTTCGAAACCATCGTCAATTTCTACTTAATACCGAAAATCACGTGTTAAGATGTTTTGGAATCACGAGATCCCCAAACGATAATACGGAACTCGCAAAGTGGCTAAAGAAAGATGCGAAAGATGCTAAAGAGAGACCCAAACTAAACTCGTATATGATGGTGATGATGTGGGCAAATGATGGTGACTTATTCAATTATATTAAGAAAACATCTAATGATGAAAATTTCACTTGGTATAAACGGTTAAAAATATTAGAAGAATTATCAGGTGCCCTCAAAAGTATCCACGATAAAGGAGTAATTCATCAGGATCTTCATTGTGGCAATATTTTAATGAATGACGAAGACATATTTCACTTTCCAGCTATCGGTGATTTGGGATTATGTGGAAATTACAATAAAACAGGAATTCTAATTGGCGTAAAATCTTTTATTGCACCTGAACATTTAAAAGAAAATCCAGAAAAGTTTACAACAGCATCAGATATTTATAGTTTTGGAATCATTATGTGGATAATTGGTTGTTGTAAATTACCTTACGAAGAATTCAAGAATGATCAATTCGGATTAGAATATAATATAACAGTTGGAGGTTTACGTCCAAAGATACCAAAAGATATTCCAACAACTTATGCAGAACTTATGAAAAGATGTTGGGATGATAATCCAGAAAAACGCCCAAAAGCATTTGAATTAAGAAACATATTTTCAATGTGGGAAAAACAATATTATTCGAACCATAAAGAATTTTTTATTGCAGAAAAGGAAAGATTACATAAGATCAATAATTCTGGCCTATATTGTAATTTTCTTGAAAATCAAGAAATAGAACGTAGTAAACTGATTCATAAAAAAGGTAATAAAAGTGAGAAAAGTAAGGAACTTTTTATTTATATTCTTTATACTTGAATCATTATCATTAATTAATATTTTTTTTTTATTTTGTTACAACACATAGGAAATAATGCTTTATCATGCAAACCCTTTGATGAAGTTTCTCTTTCAACGGTTAATTTTGAAAATTCGAATAATAATAATGAAAACGCGAATCTTTTATTTCTTTGTTAGAGAATTGAATATCTGTTACCCTTCCAGTAAGAGCGGAATGAGAAAAAGATTTGGAGACAGCAGAATTCACTGCTCCTCCTTCGCCAAGACCTTACTGTATATGGAATATGAGTTAGTGTATTGCTATGAACAAGTAACCGCTATGGGAGTATCATCATCAGCTTAGCAAAGAAACTGCCACCTGAGGCAACTATCCCTTTACTTTTCGGAAATTTTCTATTGGACATTTCCTAAAAGTTGCAGGCGGTCCTATATATAGATAAATTCCAGATTGTTTTATTATGTATGTCCAAATTTGTTTCTCAGTAAATTACAAATAGTGTTCACATTAAATTTCTCCATGTATCCACACCTTTTATTCGTTTGTAGAGTTTATCTTAATTTTTCAGAGATTCGTTTTCGCAGTAATGGTTTCTTATAACCGGTCGGAGTTATATTTAATTTGAATTTAAATTTATTGATCTTTCATAAAATAAAGTAAAATACAAAGAAATTTATTCAATTAAACAAAGTGAATTCTTAATCACAAGTTTATGTCTTTTAAACCAAACCATTCTTTTAAGCGATACAAATTTTGATGTTTCCAATAAATTTGAACTATTAATAATAAGTTTCTTGAAACATCAACATGTCATAATCGAAAGGTGAAGTCGAAACTCGTGATATAGATTAATTAATTAATGTAAAATTGAACATTACTAGTTTTAGCAAATGCTTACAACACGAACGAAAAAAATTATTATTTTCCCATATAAAACTCTATAAATCGATTTCCCTGATACTTCAAAGTTACGTGATTATATGATTTTTTTTTATTATAACATAATTGGAAGATATTGTGTCGCTTCATTTGAGTTAATTATATTCGTACGAAGTTATCTCCATAAAAAACCTGATTATCAAATTTGGAAGTATCGGTGATTTTTTTTTTATGAATAGTTTGATGTTAATTACACTAATTTTTCTCACGCCAACGGACCTCGTTCATTAATTTTTTCAAATAATTCTTACTATATTTATTTCGAATGGGGTCGATTATCCAAAAAAAAAAATAAGTGTGTAACATTTCGTAGTTTTCTAATTTAAAATAAAGTTAATTAACTGAGCCATATATTTTATTATTACAGTACGGTTAATTAACCGGTTAAACAATTTTCCTTTTCTTTTTTAATGGTTAAATTAAACATTTGTTTGTATTAATGGTTAATTAACCATTTTTTTTCGTTATATTTTTTGTAACACGAAATTTCCATTTTTTCACTAGCGTTAATTGTATAATTTTATATATAATCATTCATTTTTTTTATCGCCTCAATTCGCTGGAAATATTTATTTTCTTATAAACAACCAAATAAGAAACTAAATATCAGATGATAAGAAAAGAGAGAAAAAAAGGTCCCGTTTGGGTACATTTCAAGACTGTAGTTGAAAGTAATAACTCGCATCCTCCTGTACAATGTAAATACTGTTACAAAAATTATCAACGAGCTGTTCCTGAACGAATGCAAGCCCACCTTGACAAATGTCCAAAAGCACCAAGTAATGCAAAATCACAACCCAAACAACAATTAATTAACAATTTTAATGGTGGCCATATGAGTGAAGATCAGGATGCTAATACTATATTATCTTCACAACATTTTATTCAACGTCCTCAATCACCTTTCGAGTCACAAGATAGTGAAGAAATGAACATGCAAATAGAGTATAGTGACCAATTAGAATCTCCGCGTAATTTACATCATTTAGGTTATTGTTATCAGTATGGAATTGGAATTGAAAAAAATGAAATCAGGGCATTTCAATTATATAAAGAAGCAGCTGAAAAAGGTCATATTAATTCAAAATATGATCTTGGAAGATGTTATCAACATGGAATAGGAATTGAAAAAAATGAAATTAAAGCATTTGAATTATATAAAGAAGTAGCTCAAAATGGTCATATAACTTCAATATATGAGCTTGGAGAATGTTATCAATATGGAATGGGAACGGGGAAAAATGAAATTAAAGCATTTGGATTTTACAAAGAAGCAGCTGAAAAAGGTCATATTACTTCAATATATAAACTTGGAGAATGTTATAAATATGGAATAGGAACTGTAATAAATAAAATTAAAGCATTTGAATTTTATAAAGAAGCGGCCCAAAAAGGTCATATTACTTCAATATTTAAGCTTGGATATTGTTATAATCATGGAACAGGAACTGAAATAGATAAAATTAAAGCATTTGATTCATATAAAGAAGCGGCTGAAAAAGGTCACATTACTTCAATACATAAACTTGGAGAATGTTATCAATATGGAATAGGAACTGAAATAAATGAAATTAAAGCGTTTGATTCATATATAAAAGCAGCTAACAAAGGTCATACTATTTCATTATATGAGATTGGAGAATGTTATCAATATGGAATAGGTACTGAAAAAGATAATAATAAAGCATTTGAATTATATAAAGAAGCAGCTGAAAAAGGACTTACTATTTCATTATATGAGCTTGGAGAATGTTATCAATATGGAATAGGTACTGAAATAAATAAAAATAAAGCATTTGAATCATACAAAGAAGCGGCTCAAAAAGGTCATATTATTTCAATATTTAAGCTTGGATATTGTTATAGCAATGGAACAGGGACTAAAATAGATAGAATTAAAGCATTTGATTTATACAAAGAAGCGGCTGAAAAAGGCCACATTACTTCAATACACAAGCTTGGAAAATGTTATCGGTACGGAAGAGGGACTGAAATAAATAAAAATAAAGTATTTGAATCATACAAAGAAGCAGCTGAATTAGGTAATCATAAATCATTGTTTGAGCTTGGAAAATGTTATCAATATGGAATAGGAACTGAAAAAGATGAAACTAAAGCATTTGAGTCATACAAAAAAGCAGCTGAAAAAGGTCATACTATGTCGTTATATGAGCTTGGAAGATGTTATCAACGTGGAATGGGAACTGAAATACATAAAATAAAAGCGTTTGAGTCATACAAAGAAGCAGCTGAACAAGGTCATGCTAATTCATTATATGAGCTTGGGGAATGTTATCAATATGGAATAGGGACTGAAAAAGATGAAAACAGAACATTTGAGTTATATAAAGAAGCAGTTGATGAATTTAATGATTCCGAGTCATTGAATAAACTTGGAGATTGTTATCAATATGGAATAGGGACTGAAAAAGATGAAAACAAAGCATTTGAGTTATATAAAGAAGCATTTGATGAATTTGGTGATTCCGAGTCATTGCATAAACTTGGAGATTGTTATCAATATGGAATAGGAACTGAAAAAGATGAAACTAAAGCGTTTGAGTCATACAAAGAAGCAGCTGAACTAGGTTATATTATTTCATTATATGAGCTTGGGGAATGTTATCGATATGGAAGAGGGACTGAAAAAGATGAAATTAAAGCGTTTGAGTCACACAAAGAAGCAGCTGAACAAGGTTATGCTATTTCATTATATGAGCTTGGGGAATGTTATCAATATGGAATAGGGACTGAAAAAGATGAAAACAAAGCATTTGAGTTATATAAAAGAGCAGTTGATGAATTTGGTGGTTACGAGTCATTGTATAAACTTGGAGATTGTTATCAATTTGGAATAGGGACCGAAATAAATATGATCAAAGCAAATGAATTATATACAAAACACTTAAGATAAATTTTTTATTTGCAAATTTTCTTTCTTTTTATAGTATTTATTGTTATATTTTGATACTTTTCTATAAATTTAAGATTTACTGAAGTTTTAATCACCAAGAAAATTGTAGGAATTTTTGAATTTGGATGGGATATATATAAATCGGTATATACAGTGGTATATCGAAGTTCGAGTTATTATTTAGACTTTAAAGTCTAGTATTTAATATACTGTAGATTTAAAAATTGTGGCCAAAATTCCAAAATTCTTTGTTTGATTAATTTTTTTGTAATTAGGATTGAGGGTGACTATATTATCAATCCCTATAAAAAATCTAATATGGTTTTTTTATTCTATGTTATTTCCGTAAATGTATTATATTCACGGAGTTTTACAGAAATTACGGATAAAATTCTTACAGGATTCTAAGTTATATAATTTTTAAAAAGATATTGTATAAGCAAATTTTATTTTAAAAAATATACCGTAATAGTTTAATCTGAAAACCACGTGATACCAACGTTTTGACAACGATACGTTTCAAATGCTTTATTTCCGCATTAATGAACAATAAAGATTATTGGACTGAAACTGAAAATTTTATTCCTAATAGATCTTATAGAATTAAAGAAAGTGGTAAATATTTGAATCTGTCCTGGTAAAAAAATTGACTATTATCATAGAATTATTAAAGAACAAAATGATATTGGATTGATTGATGTAAATTTATTATTTAAATATAATACTATCATTATAATAATATTAAGATTAGAAAATTTAAAAAGTGTAAGTACTATATATAAATAAAATGTTCTATCATCGGATCGTTAAACATTCAGTTAATTTGTGGTATTGTTTTATTAACAAGTTAATAATATATATATATTTATTTATTTATTTACAGTATTACTAATTGTTCTATAAAATTTTTTATCAATAATACTTTTGTTTTACTAAAATATAAAATAAATATTTTATCGCGTAAAATAAAATTTGCATCGATCAATCGCGACAGCGGTTAAAATCTGACATAACAATTTTAAATTTTAAATATAAAAACCAAATAATTCATTTAAAACCGAATAATTGGAGAAATAATGAATACCATTTGAAATAAATGTAATAATCAAATTACTCTTTATAATCATAATAATTTCAATATACATTATATCAATTTTTAATAAAAAGATTTTAAATAAGATTTATATTTTTTTTGGTTGAAATCTTTGTGAATGCTTACTTTATTAAACTCGCTGTATAATCTTTGATAAACTTACCAATAAAAAAAATAGACATCGGAAAAAAGAAAGCTTAAAGATAAGTTAATTTATACTTATGTAGTTTGTAATAAACTTGACAATAATGTTATAAACCAAGTATTATTTATTTACCTAGCGTCTAACCAGGCAGAAATCACCGATTTTCGTTCAAAATTTTTTGATCTCATTAGTCTCAAGAACATTAAGAACATTTCAATTCAGTCATTGATCTTATAAATCGGCATGTTTCACATCGTCAATATCTCGTATTCGCGGTCATATAACGAAGTGGTTAATCTAATGGCATGTTTTTAATTTTAATCCTTCTGATTCAATAAAATTTTATCTATAATATATTGAAATCCATCGAGTCGTGTAAATATCTGATCATTATTTTTTTAAAAAAAAGAAAATGATAAATCGTATTACTCTCAAAAATAAATATTGTTCGTATTAAATCACAAATTTGTGAATTATTGAATACAGTAATAATAATATAATTCAAGTAGAAAAATTTATTTTTACGACGATGAATAAAATAATTTTAGTTTTATATATACCAGTTTTATACAAAATACAATAAAATAAAATAAAATTTTTTTATTAGTAGATGATTAATAGAGACAAGAAAAATATAATAAAGAATTTTATTCCTTATAAAAATCTTGACCCGTTAAATTTCGGTTAATTTTCTTAAGAATTTTTTTTAGAGATTACTTGATTATTTTTATCTCTAATCGTTTTTTATTGTATTAAAGTTCCACATGTTTGTACTTATGAATAATACGATTAATAGGTATGTTCATAATCGACAACCGGCATAAGGGGTTGGTAAATTAGGGGTAGAATGTTTCTTAAAATAGTAAAACAGTATAAAAGAAAATTTGTGTAAAAATTTTTTTTTTTTTTTTTTTGACTTCGACTTCGACTTTTTGACATAATAAATTAATATTTATATAAATAATCATGGAATTATCCAATCCAATCATTAAAAGAATATTCTACATTATGGAAATAGGTTTTCATACTTTTATATACATTTAATTTCGTTTAACAAAATAATAAGTATCAAAAACGAAAATAAAAAAAAACATGTTAAATAAATCATTTCAATGAAAACGAGAAAGACAAAGGATTTTAAAAAATTTTTAGAAAGAAAAATTCATGATGAAAGGATCGAAAAGAAAAAATTTATACGAAAGTCGTCAAAATGTTTATATTAACTCAGGTTTTTAAAGACGAATTAGATAATAGTAATAATGAAAGTTTGGATCAGGTTTGGTTGAATTAGACAATATATCAAATGAAGAAAAAAATATTAAATTCGATCCGATTGATGAATTTAATGATGACGGGAATTTCGCTTAATATTATAATTAATTGATCAGATTAAAAATTGTTAGCGAACAACGAGGAGAACAAGGATTCTATAATCGAAGAACAAGTTATTCCATTATCCACAAATCAAATCAACGATGTATCAGGAATTTCGGAATTAAGCTGAGCGAGAAAAAAATCTTGAACTAGAACAATTGAATGTTAGTTTAAAAGCTGATATCCTATTAAAACGAAAAAAAAAAAGAATCTCCGGATCAAAATTTACGATTTCGTATCTTAGTGTCAAATAAGATATACTGTAAATCTGGCTTGAAATACAATAAGAAAATTGTCACTAAATATGAAGAGATGATAAAGAACAGCAAATTAAGCTTTCGATGAGAAACAATCTAATATTAAGAAGTAATTAAAGTAACGCTTCTGGAACTTATTCTACCAGATTAATTCAAGAATAAAAATTATAAATATGAAGGGATGGTAAATAATAAAAAACTTATGTGAAACTCATCAAATTATTTTGTTAGCTCAGATCTTAAAAAGAAACAAACAAGGGATTAGATGATAATGATGGAGAACTTAGACCAGATTAAATTAGATGATAATTAGAAAATCTCGTTTAATAATAATGGATCAATTAACGAGAAATCTTGTTAACAATGAGGAAATGATGGAGTCGTGATTGAAGGACATATCACTTCATTGTCCACAAATTAAGTCAGGCACTTCGGAAACTCGATATGTTACTAAGTCAAGAAACTAATACACAGCTTTTCTCGAAAGATAATGACCTTCATTTTAAAAGTTATGAAAATTTGGATGCGATTTCAAATATTAATACTTCAAATCCGGCTCATGGCATAATAAGAAAATTGTCGAAAATAACAAGAAACTAACGTCATCGATTCAAAACAATGTGATATTAAATATGAAAGTTCCTAGAACTTAACAAGACAAGAAAATTATAACTAAATATGAAGAGATGACGAAGAACAACAAGAAATTAACACTTCAAACTTGTACTATATCAAAAAATTTAAGAAAATGATCACGTGTCTGAGTTTCTTCGGAATAATAACTAGAAAAATGATCATTTATCGGAGTTTTTTTCCAGAACTTTTTTATAGATGCTATCCCAGATCGAATATTGAACGACAGTTACAATTCATTAGTTGCTAAAGATTGATGTAAATCTTGTCAAACTGATATTTTTAAACAAAATTTTAAGAATTGGACGAGTGGTAATCGGAAGTTGATGAATTAATCCAAAATAGTCAATTAGAAGCAACGGATAGTTTAAACTATTTTGAATTGATTGACCATAAGGAGATCGTAAATATTGAGTACGTAACTAAAGGTGGATTGGGCAAGATATTTAAAGGCATGTGGGAAGGGACCTAGACTTAAATATAATACGACAGAAAGAATCTGGAAAAATATTCCTAATACAGCTATCGTTTTAAAAGAACTTGATAATCAAGAGAACTTTAATTCAATTTTTTGACGAGATAATATTCCGGAATTTAGTTTATTTAGTGATAAAATGTTATTAACGTTTTAATAATAGGTTCGAAACCACGTCTATTTATACTTAATCACGAAAATCACGTGTTGAGATGTTTTGGAATCACGAGATCTCCATACGAATGGCTAAAGAAAGATGCTAAAAAGAGACCCAATCTAAACTCGTATATGATAGTGATGATGTGGACAAATGATGATGACTTGCTTGTTAATAAGAAAACATCTAATGATGAATAGTACACTTGGTATAAACGGTTAAAAATATTAGAAGAATTATCAGGTGCCCTCAAAAGTATTCATGGTAAAGGAGTAATTCATCATGATTTTCATTGTGGTAATATTTTAATGAATGACGAAGATATATTTCACTTTCCAGCTATCGGTGATTTGGGATTATGTGGAAATTATAATAAAACAAGAATTCTAATTGGCGTGACATCTTTTATTGCACCTGAACATTTGAAAGAAAATCCAGAAAAGTTACAACAGCATCTGATATTTATAGTCGTATGGATAATTGGTTGTTGTAATTTACCTTACGAAGAATTCAAGAATGATCAACTTAGATTACAATTTAATATAGTAATTAAAGGTTTACTTCAAAAGATATTCCAACAAGTTATGCAGAACTTATGAAAAGACGTTGGGATGATAATCCAAAAAAAAAACGCCCAAAGCATATATATTTTCAATGTGGGAAAAGCAATATTATTCGAACTTTTATTGCAGAAAGGAAAGATTACATAGGATAATAGGATCAAAAATTCTGCCCTACTCTGTAATTTTCTTGGAAATCAAGAAATAGAACCAGTAAACTAATTCATAAAAAGTAAAAAAGTGAGTAAAGTAAGGAACTTTTCATTTATATTCTTTATACTTAAATTATTATCATTAATTAATTTTTTATTTTCTTAAACACATGGACCTTTTGATGAAGTTTCTCTTTCAACGGTTAATTTGAAATTCGAATAGTAATAATGAAGATTTATTTGTTAGATAATTGAAAGCGAGCAGAATGAGAAAAAGATTTGGAAACAGCTGAATTCACTGCTCCTCCGTTGCCAAGACCCTATTATATATTAATTTGAATTATATTGCTAAGAACAAGTAGCCACGCATCATGGAATTTTTAGGTAGATCGATCCACGTAATTCCAAATGGATTAGTTCGGAAATATGTGGAATTTTTGTCACAGGGTATTTGGTTTTTGGTGGAAAAAATTTCCTGATGACTGTGGGTACATAGCTGAGTAAATCACCATCAGCTTAGCAAAGAAACCGCCACCTGAGGCAACAATTTCTTTAGCTTTCGGAAATTTCTATCGGATATTTTCCAAAAACTGCAGACGGTCCTATAGATTAATTTCAGGTGGTTTCATTATGTTGTTTCTAAATTTCAAATATTGTTCACATTATCAAATTTCTCCATGTATCCACACCTTTTATTCGTTTGTAGAGTTTATCTTAATTTTTCAGAGACTCGTTTTCGCAGTAATGGTTTCTTATAACCAGTCGAAGTTATGTTTAATTTGAATTTAAATTATTGATCTTTAAATAAAATACAAAAAAATTTATTCAATTAAACAAAATGAATTCTTTATCACAAGTTTATGTCTTTTAAACAAAACCATTCTTTTAAGCGATACAAAATTTTGATGTTTCCAATAAATTTAATAATATCTAAGCTTCCAAAACGTGCCATAATCGAAAGGTGCAGTCCAAACTCGTGCGTGATATAGATTAATTAATAGCCAATCGATGCAAAATTGAAACATTACAACTAAGTTTTAGGAAATGAGTAACACTTGAATGAAAAATTTTCCCAACATAAATATAACTTTATTTTCCTGGTACTTACTAGTTACGTGAATTTTTTTTTTAACATAATTGAAAGATATTGTGTCACTTCATTGAGTTAAGTACTTAAGTTACCGAAGTTATCTCCATAAAAAAATATAAAAACCTGATTATAATCAAATTTGGAAGTATCGGTAATTTTTTTTTATCACGCCAACGGACCTCGTTCATTAATTTTTTCTGCGGAAAAGCTGCATCATATAGTATTTATCCCTGTAATTTGTATCGTGACTTTGTTCACATGGAAATTAAAAAAAAAAAACATCATATAGTATTTACAACCATGTTTTAAATGTAATGCTCCAATAATTCTTACATATTTCAATTTATGGGAGAGTGTAACATTTCATAGTTTCCTAATTTAAAATAAAGTTAATTAACTGAGCCATATATTTATTATTACAGTACGGTTAATTAACCGGTTAAACAATTTTCCTTTTCCTTTTTAATAGTTAAACATTTTGTTTGTATTAATGGTTAATTAACCATTTCTTTCGTTATATTTTTTCTAACACGAAATTTCCATTGTTTCACTAGCGTAAATTGTATATATAACCATTCATTTTTTTTATCGCTGAATATATTTATTTTCTTACAAACAACCAAATAAGAAACTAAATATCAGATGATAAGAAAAGAGAGAAAGAAAGGTCACGTTTGGGCACATTTCAAGACTGTAGTTAAAAGTAATAACTCGCATCCTCCTGTACAATGTAAATACTGTTGCAAAAATTATCAACGAGCTGTTCCTGAACGAATGCAAGCCCACCTTGACAAATGTCCAAAAGCACCGAGTAATGCAAAATCACAACCCAAACAGCAACAATTAATTAACAATTTTAATGGTGGCCATATGAGTGAAGATCGGAATGGTAATATATTATCTTCACAACATTTTATTCAACGTCCTCAATCACCTTTCGAGTTACAAGATAGCGAAGAAATAAACATGCAAATAGAGTATAGTGACCAATCAGAAACTCCGAATAATATACATCATCTAGGTTATTGTTATCAGTACGGAATAGGAATTACAAAAAATGAAACCAGAGCATTTCAATTATATAAAGAAGCAGCTGAAAAAGGTCACATTACTTCAATACATAAACTTGGAGAATGTTATCAATATGGAATAGGAACTGAAATAAATGAAATTAAAGCGTTTGAATTATATAAAGAAGCAGCTGATAAAGGCTATACTATTTCATTATATGAACTTGGAGAATGTTTTCAATATGGAAGAGGGACAGAAAGGAATGAAAATAAAGCGTTTGAATTATATAAAGAAGCAGCTGATAAAGGCTATATTATTTCATTATATGAACTTGGAAAATGTTATCAATATGGAATAGGAACTGAAATAAATAAAATTAAAGCGTTTGAATTATATAAAGAAGCAGCTGAAAAAGGCTATACCATTCCATTATATTGGCTTGGAAGATGTTATCAATATGGAATAGGAACCGAAAAGGATGAAATCAAAGCACTTGAGTCATATAAAGAAGCAGCTGAAAAAGGTCATACTAGTTCGTTATATTATCTTGGAGAATGTTATCAATATGGATTTCTAGGAACTGAAATAAATAAAATTAAAGCATTTGAGTCATACAAAGAAGCAGCTGAAAAAGGTCATACTATTTCATTATATGAGCTCGGAGAATGTTATCAATATGGAATAGGAACTGAAATAAATAAAATTAAAGCATTTGAATCATACAATAAAGCCGCTGAAAAAGGTCACATTACTTCAATACATAAACTTGGAGAATGTTATCAATATGGAATAGGATCTGAAATAAATGTAATTAAAGCGTTTGAACTTTACAAAGAAGTAGCAGCTCAAAATGATCTTATTAATAATTTTATCAATTTTGATGAATAAGGACCGGAATAAATATGATCAAAGCAAATGAATTATATACAAAACATACTGTACTAGTTAAGGAAATACTTTATTTTAAATAGTTTTTATGAAATTTTCTATTTACAATTTTTATTTCTTTTATGGTATTTTATTGTTATATTTGATACTTTCTATAAATTTAAGATTTACTGAAGTTAAAGAAAATCGTAGAAAGTCTTATTTTAGCATTTTTATTTGTAGTTCAGGGATTGAAAATTGACTATCATAGAATTAAAATGTTTATTATTTAGAAAATAATGTTATTTAATTGGTTGATGTGAATATATAATACCAATTATTAACGTTTGTATTATTAAATTGATCGTTATTCGTTAACTGTTAAGGTCAGTAAATTTTAAAAGTATGATACAAGTATAAATGTTCTATCGGATTAGTTAAACATTCCATTTATGGTATGATATTATTTTGTTAACAAGTAATAATAATACTTATTTATTTACTTATTTACAGAATCACCAATCGTTCATCGTTCTATAGATTTTTATTTTGTTTTTACTAAAATATAAAAATAATATTTTATCGCGACAGCGGCTAAGATTTAAAAATTTTTAATATAAAGGCCAAATAATTCATTTAAATTGTATTAGTATTACTAGATTTAAAATAAATAATTGAAGCAAAGTACGGATAATAATGAATTTGGTTATGAAAATAAATAATAAACGAAACAATTTGAAATAAATCTAAAAATCAAATTATTCTTTAATACACGTTAGTTATATCGATTTTTAATAAAAAGATCCTAAAATAATAAGATTTATGTTTTTTGGTTGAAATCTTTATGAACGCTTACTTTATTAAACTCTGTATAATCTTTGATAAACTTAACAAAAAAAATAGACACCGGAAGCAACCTATAAAAACAAACCGAATATTATTTGGTACGCAAAAAAATTGTACCTAAAGTCTTATTAATCTCATAAGAACATTTCCAGGGTTCAGTCATTGGTCTTAATAAATCGACATGCTTCACATAATTAATATCTCGTATTCGCGGTTATATAAATCGTAACCTTATAACGAAGTGGTTAATCTAAAAAAGAAAAATAATTAAATGATAAATCGGTTCTTATAACTCTCAAAAATAAATAATTTATAAATGTATTGTAGTTTGTGACTGTTCGTATTAAATCACAAATTTGTGAATTATTAGAAAATATCCCTTAAACTGTAGGAGTTAAAATTAATTTTAAAAATTTTTGAATTTTTAAAATATCTTAAGATCTAGTGATCATAGAAAGATGAAATTATATTTGTTAGATTCCTCTTATTAAGGCGCATTTAATGGTAATAAAATCATAACTCTAAAATTGATAGATAAAAAGTTATGTTAATTTATAAATTTTTGGATTTTATAAGTTATCCTGTCACATAATATTTGTAGAAGGACAATTTTATTTCTATCAGATTCTTCTCATTAAGACGCATTAAATGGTGGTAATTTTACATTTCTAGGGTTAATGGATAAAAAGATTATAATTTGTCGATCATTTACTTTTAAAAAATCATTAATCAAATTGAACTTTTTTTTTGATTTTTACTTAGAAAAAAATACTATAAAATTTATTACAAAAATATTGGTTTATGTAATAAAATATTTTAAGATATTTAAAAGTGTTTTTAATTAAAAAACAAAATTGCAGGCAAATTTGGCTGCAAAACAGTTTAAGGGATAGTATAATAATAATATAAATCAAGTAGAAAAATTTATTTTTACGACAATGAATAAAATAATAATTTTTTATATACGTCAAATAATACAATCGACAACTGGCATAAGAATTTTAGGGTCGGTAAATTAGGGTATACACATGTATGGAATGTTTCTTAAATAGTAAATAGTATAAAAGAAAATTGGGTAAAAAATTTTTTTTAATTTTTTTTTTTTGACTTCAACTTTTTGACATAATAAATTAATATTTATTTAAATACTCATGAAATTATCCAATCATTAAAAAAAAAAATTCTATACTATGGAAATAGGCTTTCATACTTTATATACATTTAATTTCGTTTAACAAAATAATAAGTATCAAAAACGAAAATTAAAAAAAATGATAACGTTAAATCATTTCAATGAAAACGAGAAAGACAAAGGATTTAAAAAAATTTTTTGAAGGAAAAATTCGTGATGAAGTATCGAAAAGAACAAAGGCTTATATGTGAAAGTCGTTAAAATGTTTATAATAACTCAGATTTAAAAAAACGTACGACAAATTAGATAATAGTAACAACAAAAAGTTTGGATCAGGTTCGGTTGAATTAGACAGACAATGGATTAAATGAAGAGAAAAATATTAAATTCGATCCGATTGATGAATTAGTTGATGATAGGAAATATTATAATTAATTGATCAGATAAAGAGAATAATTGTTAGCGAACAACGATTCTGTAATCAAAGAACAAGTTATTCCATTATCCAAAAATCAAATCAACGATGTATCAGGCGTTTCAGAAATTCAATATTTTGAGCCGAGCGAGAAAAAAAATCTAGTTTAGAAGCCGATATATTATTAAAACAGCTTTTTTCGAAAAAAAAGAATGATGAGTCAAAAAAAAAAACTTATGTGGAACTCATCAAATTATTTTTGTTGGCTCAGATCTTAAAGAAACAAACAAGGGATTAGATGATAATAATAATGAAGAACTTAGACCAGATTCGATTAAATTAGATGATGATAAGAAAATCTCGTTTAATAATACTATTAATGGATCAATTAACGAGAAATTTTGTTAGTGAACAATGAGGAAATGATGAAGTCATAATTGAAGGACATATCACTCCATTACTCACAAATTAAGTCGACGACGAACCAGACACTTAGGAAATTCGATATGTCAAGTCAAACGAACTTGTTTTTCGAAGATAAAAATCTTGGATTGGAGCAACCAGATGTTAACATAGAAACTGATACACCTTCAAAACAGCTTTTTACGAAAAAGAATAATGATCTTTATATTAAAAGTTATGAAAATTCGGATGACGATTTCAAATGTTAATATCAAAATGAAAAGTTCAAATCCGGCTCATATATAGCATAATAAAAAATTGTTGAAAATAACAAAGAAACTAGCGCCATCGATTCAAGACAACTTAATATTAAATAAGAAAGGAACAAGACAAGAAATTATAACTAAATATGAAGATATGACAAAGAACAACAGAGAAATTAACACTTCAAACTTGTACTATCCCAGATCGATATTGAATGGCAATTACATAAGGTGTTACAATCCATTAGTTGCTAAAGATTGGTGTAAACCTTGTCAAACTGATATTTTAAGTGGTAATTCGGAAGTTGATGAATTAATCCAAATAGTCAATTAGAAGCAACGGATAGTTTAAGGCTTTAAGCTATCTCGAATGGATTGACCATAAGGAGATCGTACATATTGAGTATATAGCTAAAGGTGGACCTGGTAGGATATTTAAAGGCATATGGACTAAGGGATCTAGGCTTAAATATAATACGATAGAAAGAATCGGGGAAATATTCCTAATACAACTATTGCTTTAAAAAACTTTATAATCAAGAAGACTTTAATCAATTTTTAGATGAGGTAATATTCTGTGAATTTAGTCTATTAGTAATAAAATGTTTTTAATGAACGTTTTAATATATAGGTTCGAAACCATCGTCAATTTCTACTTAATCACGAAACTCACGTGTTATGTTTTGGAATCACGAGATCCCCAAACGATAATACGGAACTCACAAGAAAGATACGAAAGACTTGCGAAAGCCAACCCAAATTCGTATATGATGGTGATAATGTGGTCAAACGATGGTGACTTGTTCAACTATATTAAGAAAACATCTAATGATGAAAAGTTCACTTGGCATAAGCGGTTAAAATATTAGAAGAATTATCAGGTGCCCTCAAAAGTATCCATGATAAAGGAGTAATTCATCAGGACCTTCGTTGTGATAATATTTTAATGAATGACGAAGACATATTTCACTTTCCAGCTATTAGTGATTTGGGATTAAGTGGAAATTATAATAAAACAAGAATTCTAAGTGGTGGAACCTCTTTTATTACACCTGAACATTTAAAGAGAGCCCAGAAAAGCATTGTAAATTACATTACGAAGAATTCAAGAAGGATCAATTGGTTAATATGGCAATTAAAGGTTTACGTCCAAAGATTCCAACAACTTAACAACTTATGCAGAACTTATGAAAAGATGTTGAGATGATGATCCAAAAAACGCTCAAAAGCATTTGAGCTAAGAGAAATTTTTTCAATGTGGAAAAAACAATATTATTCGATAAAAAATTTTTTTATTGCAGAAAAGGAAGATTACATAGGATCAAAAATTCTGGCCTACTTTGTAATTTTCTTGAATTAAGAAATAGAACGTAGTAAACTAATTCACCTCTGATCCCTTCTATTTTTTTTTAATTTTTTGTAGAAAAAAAATAATTAAATATTTTTGTTTCATCTTATAGATACGAAAAAATTACAATGAGTGGATGGCAGAAACTAAAGAGTTAACACCTACCGGTAAAATCAAAAGACCTTCTTATGAAAATGTAGCACATTTGGTTAAAGATTCATGGGACGCGGTTGATGTTAATTTGATTAGACGATCTTTTAAATGCTGTGGAATCTCTAATAAACGTGATGGAACTGAAGATGACTGGATTTTTAATAATGATCGTCTCAAACAAGCAAATCAATTAAATGATGAAGTGGAAGTGCTATCAGATAAAGAGAACGATGATGATGAGGAATATGGAAATGAAGAGGAGAATGTGGAGGAGGCGGAGTATGAGTAGTAGTAGGAGGAGTAGGAGGAGGAGGAGGAGGAGGAGGAATATGGGGAAGGGGAGGAAAAGGAATATGAGGAGGAGGATGAAGAAGAGGACAAGTGTGATGAAGAGGATGAAGAGAATGAATGTGAAGAGGGAAGAATGAAAATTATTTTGGTTATTACGAACAAGAACAAATTACGATAACATATGGGATTAATAATGGGTGGCTTTGATTGTGTAACGATACTAGTTGAATAGTTTTTTTTAATTTGATTAGTACCGGGTACTTTTCAAGCCGGAATACGATTAGTATCCGGGGTATTATTCAAAATCTGACTTTACAGCTGATTTCATAATATGCGGGACATACGAGAGACAACTCAGTACAGTGGAGCAGTATTCTGTTATACCGAATCTTACCGAATTTCTCTCGGCATGTAGTAAAAATGATGGTGACCCGTATATTATGAAATCACGGTACTATTTGAAGGGTACTGTATGCAGCGCTATACGTAAAATTAAAAATTACCCATAAAAACGTAAATAAAAAAAATTCATAAAAATTTATTTAAAATAGAATTTTCTTGGTTATATATGGTATGATTAAAGGAAAAGGATTTTGCATAATTCATTCGTTTTAATAATATTCATTTCAGTTCCTATTCTATATTGATAACAAACTCCAAGTTGAAATGTTGAATAAATATGATCATTTTGAGCCGCTTCTTTATATGATTCGAACGTCAGTTCCTGATAACATTCTCCGAGCCATATAATAAAATAGTATGACCATTTTCAGCTGCTTTTTTATGACTTAAACGCTTTAATTCTTAAATTTCATTTATTTCAGTTCATATTCCATGTTGATAACATTCTATAAACTGCGAATTTTATTTTCTTTGTCGCATATTAATGCGATACAGTTGCTAAAGAGGTATAGTATATCCGTCTTCACCACCTACAGCTTTTTTCATTGGTCGTGTAATAAATGCTCAAAATAATAACGTTGGAAAAGGGGTAAGGTGCATTATCATTGCGTCGCCATCATAGAAAAATTTTACAAGGTTAGATATTGACTTGCGTACAATCTGAGGATTTTTTAGCCATGTTCAGGTTATTAAAATGCGTATTTTTAACAGGCTTTTTTTCTAAATAAGGGGTTTGTTTTGCGTTATTTTTAGTAGTTTATCTGATCATATATATATATATATATTTCATAAGATAAATAACTAAAATAAATATTAATCAACTATTTAGCATAAAAGAACTATGTAACGATTGTATTAGCAATTTGCGCAAAATCTAATATTGTCTATTTATCTTAGGCCAATTAATATATTAATTGAAATTATATTGAAATTATTAGGCATATTTTTATGATTACTTTGGTCGGAAGGATGTAATAAAAAAAAACGATAATATTTATGTAAAAATTTATTGAATGTATTATTATATATTCATTGTAAAGAATATTTTAATATATTTTTCAAGTTTTGATCGTGGACAAATCACGTGATGATCAGAGATTAGAAAATTTGCGTATTTTTTCTGATTTTCTGAAGTAAGCTCCTAATAGATTTTATAGAATTAAAGAAAGTGGTAAATATTTGCTTAAAAAATTAAAACCTGTCCTGGAAAAAATTGACTATCATAGAATTATTGATCTTAATTTAGAAAAAAAAACAAGATTAAATCAATATAACAATAAAATTTTGGTTTTATATTTAGATAAATTAGATCTTATACACGTTTTTTTTATTTTTAAGTAAAAAAAAAAATATACTCATCCTAACTAAAAAAATCATACAAAGCATATTTATTCAATTAAAAAAAAATATTTATTTTGATTATATCGCCAATCCAAAGCTAAGAGGTGAAAGAACGAAAGAACGAAATAATAGAAAAAAAAATTAGTAAAGTAATAAGAAAAAAATTATTAAAATAAAAAATCATGCTTACCGTAGATCTAAGACAAAATAAATAATAACGATAATATACCTATACATATATAAGTTGATAAAAAAAATATGTATAAAGATAAATAAGAAAATTACACAAAAAGAAAATACAGTATTAGTATAGATTATTATTATAAAGAAAAAAAAGGGATGATAAATATTAAAAATTCATTTTTAAAAAGATTGGAAGAAAAATTATTAAAATCTCGGTTTTAAAAACTGAAAAAAAATAATATTAAAAAAGATCCGGTCGAAAAATAGACCAAACAAAATATTATTATTAAAAAAAAATCCAATCTTAAAAAAAGAGACCAAAAAAATAATAATATTAAAAAAAAAAGAAATAAGATCGGGTCTAAAAAGACTGAATGATCCAAGCAGTCTAAAAAAAAGAGACCGAAAAAAGATTTAAAATCAAACATCAACGTACAGTAATTGATCTGCAGCTGATCACATCATCCTAAAATGAAATCTGTAAAAGATATTGCACTGCTGATTAGCAAGTCATTAACCGGAACTGTATCACGATGAAAATCTCCCCACCAGAACATACACATGAACCGACAGAAATCAAGTTATTCAAACCATAATAATTATAGGCGCTGACGAATCAAACAGGGCGGACATCCTCATATTATCACATTATTGCCGATCATTTTGCCGATCATCTATTTTAAATATTATCACATAAAAAATACCATTTTTTTGCAAATTTAACTATATAAATTTTATTTGTTATCAAAATTTATCCAAAGTCCGAAAATTAATGTTTTCAAATCCAAAAATTAACTAAAACCCAAAAATGGGCTGAATTTTAATAATAATTAGAAAATTGAAATTATTTTAATGATATTGTGACAACCAGTGATTAAAATTTAATGTTTTATAGCTTTTTAGATTCATCTCGTCAAGACAAACATTTTGATAGTAATTTTATAATTTTTTACGCCAAATTGATTGAGAAATTGCATTTTGAAAATTTCTATTTATTATATAGATTATAACAAATATAATTGCAAGTATAAATTTAGCCATAACTTCTTGATTACCTAAAATTAGGAATGATTACTTCGGCCATTGATTTTAAATCAGTTAAACTATAACCCATAAAAGTTTCAAGCTTCGGCCAAACTTCTGTGACTTTGGCCGAAGTTTTAAAGTCTGATATCACCCAATTTACTATAAGATCGGCAAATGATCGGCAAGGTGATATAAGGATGTCCGCCCTGTTGACGAATCACGCGTCGCGCAATTCAAAATTATTTATACAGGGTAATCTAAACGTTACCTAATTATTAATAATAAGAACCATATTAATATTATAATTATAAATTTTTTAAATTTTATTTTTTTTTTGGTCGGGCATATTTTTATTATTTTAGGTTAACTACAAATCATATTTGTTTAAAAAAAGAATTTATTTTGATTATATTGCCGATCCAGAAAGAATGAAAATCTTTTTCGATTGGCCATTTCCCTAACTCCAATGATGAAATAAATAATAATATACATATATAAGTTAATAAAAAAAAAAAAATAGTAAATAAAAAAAATTAAAAAAACCGGAGCGAAAAATATTAAAAATTCAGTTTTAAGAAAAATAGAAAGAAAAAATTATTAAAATCTCAGTTTTAAAAAACCGAAAAAAATATTATCATTGAAAAAAAAGAGACTGAAAGAAATATTATTAAAAAAAAAAATTTGGTCTAAAAAAAAAGACCGAAAAAAAGATTTCTTTTTAAAATCAACGTTTTATATACGATAAAATGCACTTTGGTGCCGAAGTGAATTTCGCGAAATGTACCGTAACCGAGATTTTATATATATCCAATACAATGCTTAGAGAACATTCTTTTATTTTTTTTTTTTCATAACCAAATTCATTATTATCCGTACTTTCTCCAATTATTTATTTTATTTAAATCATATGTCAGATTTTGAGAATAAATAATGAAAACGAAAAAACCATTTGAAACAAATTATTTTTTTGGTTGGAATCTTTATGAACGATTACTTTATTAAACTCGCTATATAATCTTTGATAATTAGATATCGGAAAAAAAGAAAGCTTAAAGAATAAGTTAATTTATACTCAAATAGTCTATAATAAAATTGCGTATCACGAAACTTTTAAAAGCAAACCGAGTATTATTTCTGGTACCCAAACAAAATTGCACCCCAAGCAGAAATAACCGATATTAGTTCAAGTTTTTCGATCTTATTAATCTCATAAGAACATGTCCGGAATTCAGTTCGCATTCGCGGTTATATAAATCGTAACCATATATGGCATGTTATTAATTTTAGCAATGTTCTATAGATTGATCTAGATAAAAAAAAAAGGTAAAAGATAAAATCAAATTATTCGAAAAATTTGCTAAAAAAAATATTTTGCAGTTTGTAACAATCACAAAATTAGATAATACAGGATAATCATACAAATAGAAAAACCCATCATGCCCGCCTTGATTGGCGTAATTTATTTTTACAATAATGGATAAAATAAATTAAAGGGTGTATATACAAAATATAATAAAATCAAATAAAAATTTTATTAGGTAATTAATAAAATATGTAAAATAATTAATTTTTATTCCTTTTAATACCTTATATAAAATCTTATCGATTAATTTTCTAGAAATTGATTAATTAAAGTATAGTCTTTTTTACTTTATTTACTGTAAATAATACGATTAGTAAGCAGTGTTGAGAATTCAGATTATTTTTATGCGCGCAGAGCGCACATTGTTCATAAAAGTTTTGTGCGCAACCTATGTGCCCTTATATATAAAATAAAATTATAGTAAGCTTATCTACGCTCCGCCAACTGCGCGGAATCGCAAGTTCAACCGGCATAAGAATCTTTAGGGTTGATAAATTAGGGCATATGTATGGAATGTTTGCTTTCTTAAATAGTATAAAATGAAATTGTGATGATATTTTTTTTTTTTTTTGACTACGACTTTTTTGATATAATAAATTGATATTTTTTTAACTTTTATATAAATATTCATGAAATTATCCAATCATTAAAAAAATTATTCTATATTATTATGGAAAGAGGATTTCATACTTCTATATAATAAGTATCAAACAAAAACTAAAAAATGATAATGATATTATCAAATAAAAATCATTTCAATGAAAAAGGATTTAAAAATTTTTAGAAAGAAAAAAAATACTTATTATATGAAAGTCGTCAAAATGTTACGAACGACGAATTAAATAATGGAGTTTGGATCAGATTCGGTTGTATTAGACAATGGATCATATGAAGAGGAAAATATTAAATTCGACCGATGAATTAGATGATAATAGGAAATTTCTCTTAATTGATCAGATAAGGAGAAAATTGTTAGCGAACAACGAGGAGAACAAGGATTCTGTTGTAATCGAAGAACAAGCTACTCCATTATTCACAAATCAAACCATGAATCAGGCACTTAGCTATAAAAATTCGATAACAAAAAAAAAAAAATAATATATATTCTATAAATAACTTTAAACATTTATTCTTGGTAAGTTGAAAAGCAGAAATTATATAAGCAAGTTTTCAAAAATAATACAGTTTAAAATAATAATCGTAACACATAATAATAATTAAAAATTAGTAACTATATATATATATCTAAAGTTATACTAATAAATTTGAAAGTATTTTAGTTTTAATTTAATGCGTATCGCATTTATTTCCTGCACAATTAAACATTTCCCAACCAACCGGATCACCAGTGACGAAAATGCAGTCATCTTTATATCCTTGACACCATCTATTATCGTCTCCATTTGTTTTAGGATATATATGCAAGCAATATGTTTCAGGTGCCTCATCCCAGTGCCATTTATAACCAGAATCACAATTTTTCCATCCAGCATCTCTTAAAGTTTTACCATGACAATCCGTTACATATACACGACAGACAGAGAAAAATGATAGATCAACCGTAAGTTTGTATGCTATGGTTGTTAAATAAACAAAAAACAATTAGAACAGAAAATCATCAAAATTTTCTATGCATACTAAGGTGTTTTACCTTGAGCTATGTGAAGAATTATGAAAAAGATGATAATGAAACGAGTGAGAGTAGGATGTTGCATGGTGATCGCGATAAAGTTACCACGTTTTTCAGTAAAGTAAAAAAGAATCTTTAAAAATATATTCGTTTATCTCGTAATTTTTCGTTTTGAAATTGTGGTCTGGGGGACTACTCCCTTATATAAGTCTGATTTGCTGATAACCGTACAATAAATATGACTAACCACGAATTTTTCTTTCATAAGATTAATGAATATTCATTCAATCGTGAAAAGCATGACATTTTCAATGAACAATTATATTGCCGATAAAACATATCCCAAAATTTCTAGTGCATAAGGTTTAGTTCCCTTTCAAACTCTATAAAAACGAAATGTATTTATGTCTAATAAATGTCAAAAAAAACATCATTTTGTTTAATTTTTGTTTTTTTGTAATAAAACATAAATCGGACAAAATGGTGCTTTTTTAGACGTTTTGTACACATGAACACAAATATAAAACGAATTTAAACACAATTCATTTTTATAGGGAAAGCATATGCTTTTAGAAGATCAGGAGAAAGAAAAAAAGATTATCTCTGAACAAACATTATTGTTCAATTGACTTATAACCAGTTATAAATTAGAACCATGCCCCCAGGTTAAATCGTTTGAATCTTCGTAAGACGAATTTGATAATAAAGTTGCTACTTTCCTAAATTAATTTTATGAAAAACTTTTCAAATCAATTCTTTATGGAATTTTACGTCCATGAAATTTATTACAAATTATTTAAATTATTTATAGTTTAGTACCGTAAAATTTATTAATTGAAGTATTGTAAATGAATTATCATACTCATTAAGCTATAAATAAACTACAATTACATAATTATTATTGATATTTTTTCATATACTAAAATAATATGTAAAAAGGTAAGAACGCGCGTAATTAACTAATTTGTGTAACGAAAGAATTTCTTTCAGAAACGTTCTCTGTGCGCGTCACGTTATCTTCCAAATTCCAATTCCAATAATGGTTTATCGTATTTAAGCATGATCTGCAGGATAATACAGATTATTCAGATTATTTAAATTATCATCCGAACGGTTCTCCCCAACCGATCAGCCGATCAGCAAATAAATTGCCGATCCGCATACTATGATCGTAAAATGGGTTTCGTCCATTACTGCTAAAAAAAAATGGTTCAATTAATCTATTACTGCTAAAAAAAAAATGGTTTCAATTAGTCTATCATACTAGAAATTAATTTAAAATTTGCGATTTATAATGTGTTATTTATTATATACCCAACCATTTTTACAAATTGAATTCGGTAAAATGTCATGTTGGGATCGTCGGGATAATATCATGTCGGGAAAAGGTACTTTTCAAGAAAACCGAAAGGGTTTACCATAAAATCCCGACAACCACCAAAATCTCAAATCGGATCAGTCACAGAATCCTGATGATCTTGACAGCCAAAATCCTGACTAGGATGAGTTTATGATTAGTCAATTTTTAATGCAATTTTGTTTCTAATTTCATAATCTAGTAATATATTCTTTTAATTAAAATAAAAAATTTTTCTTTTAATTTCATTAATAATATAGTAACGTTAGTTAATTTGTATTAATATTAATAAAATTTGCAAACAATTTCAAATATTTTGCGTTAATACTAGTCAAATGATTCAAATTATATTTTAATTATATAAGTCCCGTTACTGCGCCGCTACATTTTTTAAAATTGTGTTTAGTTGGAAATTTATAAAATTTATATAATTTTTTTTTAAAAGAAAAAACTTTGGGATTTGAATTTTCTATTAGGATTTTGTCAATATTTATATGGTTGTCGGGTCAGTCGGGATTTTATAGTAAACCGGTCGATATTACTATGGTTATCAGGATTTTTGGGAAATCCTCGTATTAAATGGTGCCGATCAGGGGATAGGAATTTTTAGGGGTTGGTAAATTAGAATTTTTTTTTTTTTGATTTCTAATATTTTTAACTTTTATATAAATACTCATGAAATCATTAAAAAAAAATAATTAATCATAACTAAACCTATTTAGAAATACGAAGCTATAAGATTATACTATATCAATAAACTATTCTTATTACGAATGTTACCCTAAAAAAATGAGTTAATTATGAATCGGCAAAGTAAATATTTTTTATCTAAATTGGTCTAAGACAAGCGGGCATAAATATAGAATATAGATTGAACGTGTGTTCTATGTTAGTATGTAAATAGGTTTTTCCGTTTAAAAAATAAGTATCAAAACCGAAAATTAAAAAATTAATATGTTACCACTAAAATAATTTCAATGAAAACGAGAAAGATAAAGGATTTAAAAAAATTTTTTAGAAAGAAAAGTTCGTGATGAAGTATCGAAAAAGAACAAAAAATTATATGAAATTCGTCAAATGTTTACATTAACTCGGATTTTAAAAAAAAAACGAACAACGAATTAGTAGATAATAGTAACAACGAAGAATTTGGATCAATGAATCAAATGAAGAGAAAATATTAAATTCGATCCGATTGATGAATTAGATGATAATAGGAAATTTCTCTTAGTATTTTATTAATTGATCAGATAAGGAGAAAAATTGTTAGCGAACAACGAGGGGAACAAGGATTCTGTAATCTAAGAACAACATCAGGAAGTTTTTAGGTGGGTCGGTCCATGTAATTCCACACATTCCCAATATCCTACATGGACCCACACCGAATTTCGTGGACTTATGCCGAAAATACCACGTGTTTCATCACAGGGTATTCGGAAAATACTGGAACTATTTAGATTTCCACATATTTCCACAGTATTTGATGTGGATTCCATGTGGATTTTATTAAACGGAAAAAAATTCTTGATGGAGTTACTCCATTATCCACAAATCAAATCAACCATGAATCAGGCACTTCGGAAATTCGATATGTCAAATCAAACGAACTGGCGCAACCAGGTGTTAGCTTAGAAACTAGTACACCTTCATAATGCTTTTCTAATCTTTATATTAAAAGCTATAAAAATTCTGACAAAAAAAAAATGATATATATTCTAGAAAAAATAAATTAATGAATAAATAACTTTAAACATTTATTCTTGGAAAGTTGAAAGGCAGAATTATATAAGCAAGTTTTCAAAAATAATATAGTTTAAAATAAAAAAATGTAAAAAGCTTTGAAAGTATTTTAGTTTTAATTTAGCATTTAACCATTGTCCATTTAAACAGATCACCATAGACGCCAATGCAGTCATCTTTATATCCTTGTTGCCATCTATTATCATCTCCATCTGATAAAGGAAATATATGCAAGCAATATGTTTCAGGTGCCTCATCCCAGTACCATTCATTATTATTACAATCTTTCCATCCAGCATTTCTTAAAGTTTTACCATTACAATCCGTTACATATACACGACAGATAGAGAAAAAATTTAGTAAAACCGTAAGTCTGTACGCTATAGTTGTTAAATAAACAAAAAGCAATTAGAACAGAAAATCATCAAAATTTGCTGTGCATACTAAGGTGTTTTACCTTGAGCTATGTGAAGAATTATGAAAAAGATGATAATGAAACGAGTGAGAGTAGAATGTTGCATAGTGATCGCGACAAAGTTACCACGTTTTTCAGTAAAGTAAAAAAGAATCTTTAAAAATATATTCGTTTATTTCGTAATTTTTCGTTTTGAAATTGTGGTCTGGGGACTACTCCCTTATATAAGTCTGATTTTCTGATAACCGTACAATAAATATGACTATCCCTATAAAAACGAAATGAGTTAAATTTGTTTAATATTTGTGCTCATGTGTAATAAATGTCTAAAAAAGCACCATTTTGTTTAATTTTTGTTTTTTTGTAATAAGACATAAATTGGACAAATTGATGCTTTTTTGGACGTTTTTTACACATGAACACAAATTTAACACATTTCATTTTTATAGGGGCTAACCACGAATTTTTCTTTCATAAGATTAATGAATATTCATTCAATCGTGAAAAGCAAGACATTTCAATGACAATTATATTTTGCCGATAAACATATCCCGAAAATCTCTAGTGCATAGTAAGGTTTAATTCTCTTTTCAAACTCTATAAAAACGAAATGTATTCATGTGTAATAAATGTCTAAAAAAGTATCATTTTTAATTTTTGTTTTTTTGTAATAAACATAAATCGGACAAAATGATGCTTTTTTAGACGTTTTGTTCACATGAGCACAAATATAAAACGAATTTAAACACAATCATTTTTATAGGGAAGCTTTTCGGAAGATCAGGAGAGAGAAAAAATAGATTATCTCTGACACAACATTATTGTTCAATTGACTTAAGACCAGTTATAAACTAGACCATACTCCAAGTTAAACCGTTTGAAATTTCGTAAGACGAATTTGATAATAAAGATGCTACTTTCCTAAATTAATTCTATGAAAAACTTTTCAAATCAATTCTTTATGGAATTTTACGTCCATGAAATTTATTACAAATTATTTAAATTATTTACAGTTTAGGAATACCATAAAATTTATTAATTCGAATTCGAAATATTGTAAATAAACTACAATTGCATAATCATATATTGATATTTTTCATATACTAAATAACATGTGAAAGGTCGGTCGATATTATGGCTGTTAGGATTTTTGGGAATCCTCATCATTTTTAAGGGCAGTAAATTAGGAAATGTTTACTTTTTTAAAATAGTATGGGATAATTTCTTTTTTGATTTCTAATATATATTTTTAACATTTATATAAATACTCAATGAAATCATTCAGTCATTAAAAAAAATATTCTATGTTATATAAATAGGTTTTTTCGTTTAAAAAATAATAAGTATCAAAAACGAAAATTAAAAAATTATAAAATTACCACTCAAATCATTTCAATGAAAACGAGAAAGACTAAGGATTTAAAAAACTTTGAGAAAGAAAAGTTCGTGATGAAGTACACTAACTCGGATTTTAAAGAAAAACGAACAACGAATTAGACAATGAAGAATTTTGGATCAGGCGGTTGAATTAGACAATGAATCAAATGAAGAAAAATATTAAATACGATCCGATTGATGAATTAGATGATATCATAATAGGAAATTTCACTTAGTATTTTATTAATTGATCAGATAAGGAGAAAAATTGTTAGCGAACAACGAGGAGAACAAGGATTCTGTAATCGAGGAACAAGCTACTCCATTATCCACAAATCAAATCAGGCATTTAGCTATAAGACTTCGGTGACAAAAAAAAAAATAATATATATTCTAGAAAAAATAAATGAATAAATAAATAACTTTTAACATTTATTCTTGGTAAGTTGAAAAGCAGAATTATATAAGCAAGTTTTTAAAATAATACAGTTTAAAAATAATAGTCGTAACACATAATAATAATCAAAAATTAGTAACTATATATATATATAGTATATCTAAAGTTACTAATAAATGTAAAATTTGAAAGTATTTTAGTTTCAATTTAATGCATATCGCATTTATTTCCTACACATTTATACATTTCCCAATAAATCAGATCACCAGAGGCCAATGCAGTCATCTTTATATCCTTGACACCATCTATTATCGCTTCCATCTGTTTTAGGATATATATACAAGCAATATGTTTCAGGCGCCTCATCCCAGTGCCATTTATCACCAGAATCACAATTTTCCATCCAGCAATTGATATTTTTTCATATACTAAATAACATGTAAAAGGTAAAAGACGCGCGTAATTGACTACTAAGTTGTGTAACGAAAGAATTCCTCCGCAAAATTTTCCGCCACATTCGCTGCGCGCGTCACGTTAAACCGAAAATAGTGATGGGCATTGGAAGTTGGAAGACCTCCAATAAAAATCATTGGAAGTCAATGCCCATAACTAGTTTATCGCATGATCTGCAGGATAATATCCGAACTTCTCGCCCCGATCAGCCGATCAGCAAATAACTAATACTTAATTGCCGATCCGCATATGATAGAAATTTGGTTGTAACCAGATCGCTTGAAATTTTTGCTGAGAATACTATAAGATTAGTCCTTCTCAAAATACTATGGGATTAGGTTATTATTCAAGTATTTAATTTCAATGTTATGAAGCTTAAAATTTTAAGCGAAATTTCTAAACATCGTTAATTAACTAAATTTTATTAAATTTATTTCTTAAAATAAATTTATGCCACTTTTTTTTTGTCTCATAAAAATGTCAGCTAGAAGTCTTAGAATTTCTACATATACTATATACTTTGTGGAAATATACCAATATATTCAAAAAAAAATGTAGAAACGATTTAATTTTTGCTTTAATAAACTTCAAAAATAGAAAACCCCACGCAAATTTTCAATTTTTCAAGTTAATTAACTCCATATAAAAACAATTTGACGCTTTAAAATATCCGAATGGAGTGTTATTAAGTAAAATGGGTAAAATGGGTTTCAATTAGTAGCCTATCATACAATTGTTTCTAATTTCAGATTAGTAATCTAGTAATAAACTGTACATAGTCCTTTTAATTAAAATAAAAAATTTTCTTTTAACTTCATTAATAATATAGTAACGCTAGTTAATTTGAATAAAATTTGCATTGGTATTAATAAAATTTACAAATATTTTGCGTTGATACTAATCATATAATTCAAATTATATTTTAATTATATTGGATAAATTAAGACCCGTTACTGCGCCGCTGCATTTTTTAAAATTGGATTTTACCTGTCAGGATTTGTATTTGTGTGACTATCGGGATTTTGGTGTCAACTGTCAATATTATGGTCGTCAGGACTCGGGATTTTATAGTAAACCCGGTCGATATTATGGTTGTCAGGATTTTCGGCAAATCCTCATCGTGTAGATGGTGCCGATCAGGGGATAGGGATTGGTAAATTAGGGAATGTTTACTTTCTTAAAATAGTATGGGATAATTTTTTTTTTTTAGTTTCTAATATTTTTAACTTTTATATAAATACTCATGAAATCATCCAGTCATTAAAAAAAATTATTCTATGTCATATAAATAGGTTTTTCGTTTAAAAAAATAATAAGTATCAAAACGAAAATTAAAAAACGATAATGTTATCACTCAAATCATTTTAATGAAAAAGAGAAAGACAAAGGATTTAAAAAAAATTTTTTTAGAAAGAAAAGTTCGTGAAGTATCGAAAAGAACAAAAACTTATATGAAATTCGTCAAATGTTTACATTAACTCGAATTTAAAAAAAAACAGAACAACGAATTAGATAATAGTAACAATGAAGAATTTGGATCAGGCGGCCGAATTAGACAATGAATTAAATGAAGAGAAAAATATTAAATTCGATCCGATTGATGAATTAGATAGGAAATATTATAATTAATGGATCAGCAGATAAAGAGAAAATTGTTAGCGGACAACGAGGAGAACAGGGATTCTTTAATCGTTATTTTATTATCAACAAATCAAATCAACGACGTATCAGGCATTTCGATAATTCAATATGTTGAGTTGAGCGAGAAAAAAAATCTTGGACTAGAACAAATGAATGTTAGTAGTTTAGAAGCCGATGGATCAAAAATTTACGATTTCATACTTTAGTGTCCAAATAAAATATACTGTAAATCTGGCTCAAAATATGATAAGAAAATTTCACTAAATATGAAGTGATGATAAAGAACAGAAATTAAAAATTTCGACTCAAAGTGATATGAAAAAGTGAAGTAATTAAAAGTAATGTTTTTCCGGAGCTTGTCCTACCAGATTAATTCATGGAAAGAACAAAAAATATTAAATATGAAGGGATGGTAAATAGTAAGAAATTAACTGATATTGAAAAAAATTTACGTGAAACTCACCAAATTATTTTTGTTAGTTCAGATTTTAAAGAAACTAACAAGGAAGATGATAATAATGATGAAGAGCTTAGACCAGATTCGGTTAAATTAGATGATGATAAGAAAATCTCGGTTAATAATACAAATAATGTGAAATGGTGGATCTATTATTGAGGAACATATCACTCCATTATCAGTAGCTTTGGAAATTCGGTATGATGTTAAGTCGAGCGAATTTGTTTCCGAGAATAAAAATCTTGAACTGAAGCTACGGAGTATTAGCATAGAAACTGACACACCTATTAATACAGCTTTACCCAAAAAAAATTATCTTCATATTAAAGGCGATGTAAATTTGGATTAAATGAAATACAAATCCGGCTTACGATATAAATATGAAGAGATGACGAACAACAACAATGAATTAACGCTTCAAATTCGTACTATCCCAAATCGAATATTGAGTGGCATTTGCTGTTTAAAATTGGAAGAGAGTGCGCCTACTAGAAAATATTGCCTCAAATAGACCTAGGCTTCAGTGCAAAAAAAATCTGGGAAAGTGTTCTTAATACAACTATCGTTTTAAAAGAATCAAAAAGGCTTTAATCAATTTTTGTCAAGGTAATATTTCTACGAATTTGGTTAAAAATGTTATTGATGAAAAAAATTAATTGCTTTAATATATAGGTTTGAAATCACCTTAAAATTTTACTTATTGGGAAATCGCATTTTACGATCATGTTTTGACTGCAGCCATAATTCAGGGGCAGCGGTTAGTACAATAACAAATGAATTG